GGTTTCGGAAATCTGCTGGATGCAATCAGCACAAGAGCGATCGTTGTGGCGATTTGGTCGGGAAGGCCTATGTCCAGTAGTGGACGTCTTTCGACTGAAATGATGATGAAGTGTTATAATAATAATAATAATACACACACACATTCAACATAGCCCCGCGCCCCGCACTAGGGAAACTCTGTGTCGCGGGTGCCATGGACACACACATAGACAACCACAAATAACACCCAAACTCACGAGAGAAATAAATGTAGGTCATACACATATTTTTCCCGGCTTGGGAATCGAACCTAGGACCTTTGCGTGGCAGTCCGACATGGTAACTGTTCGGCCACGGAGGCAGTTAAGTTAAACTGGTCGATTTGAAGTGAAACAATTGATGACACCCGTCATTTGTTTCGATTTCGGGCTGGCAGTTGTCACCGTAATGATTTGGCAGAATAGTTTTCAACGAATCAAATGACATTTCGTCTCTATTTCTGGTTATGTACTCGATGTGTAATTGATACCCAAAAAAAGGCCATTGGTGTAAAAAAAAATTCAGTAACAGTAAGCAAAAACGTACTTGATCCCTAGACACTTGAAGAGTGTATATACAGGAAAGTAATTTGATTTTAGGGCCACACATTTGAACGGCTCTTAAATATAAGATTTAAGAGTTGTGGTTATTCACTAAATGATTATTATGGTCATGGGTTGACTAACCAACGCTTAGACAATGGAAACCAAATCCTCATAAGAGCCGACGGCAGATGACTGACAGCTTTATTAACAGACGTATATTGTCTACCCTTTTCCACTGTCAACGACTGCCTTCATCTCTCTGCATCCAACACGGGAAACAGAAATCGAAGCATTTTTGTTTTTTTATTATTGTAAGCACTAAGCATCGGATTCCATGCCCTGGATAGTTTAAATCATCGCGTTTGTGATCTCGTTGGCTACTCTACCAAACATGATGCAATTCGATCCAGTGGTTCTTGTACTAAATATGGCACTCGTAGCAACTCGATCCAGTGGTTAGTGTTACAGCTCTTAAATAATAAGTTATTCTATATCAATAACATTTTGTCATCTGTGGAACGTGTGGTGTCTGCTTTTGCTTATAACGTCTGTGTTTCACCGTAGGTGCGTTTTGTTCTAAGAATAAATTATAATTTTAAGAAATAAACCTTTGTTTTAATTTTAGATGTATACTCATTTAGAGGTAGAGCCAACGGTCTTAGTTTTACGAGTAAATTATTGGGCTCGTCACAGAACAATAAATACTGTAGAAATGGTTAGTTAGCGTCTGACGCGTGCCAACTATAGGTCTCGAAAGACCTATCTGACCTCAGTCCGCAATTTCGTTTCGTATGGTATGGTTGTGTTATTCTTTCGTGCTAATTCTCTAAAAATCCTAAATGATAGCCGTGCCCAAAAAAAATTACCTGTGATGTTAATTTATATCATCGGAAATTCTTATTTTAATAATTTTTCAATTTCCTCTTTATCGAAATATTTTTTTTGTTACAAGAAACGAAAGCTTATGACCCTGCAATAAGGTCGCTTCTGGTTTGGAGATCTAAATTAATATCTCCAATTCGTCGTCGTTCAGCAATAAACCCATAGATGGCAGCACATTGATTGAAATTTTAATATAATATCAAAACGTAACTAGTAATAATTGGTCTTGATAGTATTAAACTTTGTGCCAACAGAGTAAAGTTTAAATTATATTAACAATCCACTATTTCTTTTTAAATTTGAAATTACGACCAATCAATATCAAGATTTTATTGTGTTTCAAATTACGAATCTGTGACTTTGGCGACCTCGGTTCTCATAGTTATCGAGGCTTATAGAACTTCCATTGTTTTTTCCTTCCGTGTGGCTCGTAGCCAGTAACAAGTTACAACAAAAGTAAATAAAGAAAAAAATTGTAGACAAGGACAATGTGAAACAGCTTTTATTATTGTGCACTATTATCCATTACTAAAATAAGCATAAATGAAATCCTGCGGTAACCGTCGCACCACTAAGCAAACCACGCACTGGTTGTAAGGTGGGCATTTTTTAACACGTTCACCGCCACGTGTATACCCTGATATACACCCAATATTTTTGTCCCAGGCTTTTGTATCCCTGGCTATATAGTGCTTATATTTATTATATTTTAGCTACATTTAGCAAAATGTATGAAAAAAACTCCTAGGCTAGTGTCTAGTGCCTGATACGACTAAAAAAACGAAGAAAGTGGCACAAGGGGAGGGAGGTTCGTAATGTTAATTCCACACCCTATAAATAAATAAATAAATAGCGCACACACTCAACATAGCCCCGCACTAGGGAAACCCTGTGTCGCGGGTGCCATGGACACACATAGACAAACACAAATTACACCCAAGCTCACGAGAGAAATAATTGTAGGCCATACAACTATTTCCCCCGGCCCGGGAATCGAAACTGGGACCTCTGCGTGGCAGACCGACATCGTAACTGTTCGGCCACAGAGGCAGTTAAGTTAAACTGGTCGATTTGAAATGAAACAATTGATGACACCCGTCATTTGTTTCGAATTCGGGCTGGCCAATCGGAGCGCAGTTGTCACCGTAATGATTTGGCAGAATAGTTTTCAACGAATCAAATGACATTTCGTCTCTATTTCTGGTTATGTGCTCGATGTGTAATTGATACCCAAAAAAATTCAGTAACAGTAAGCAAAAACGTACTTGATCCCTAGACACTTGAAGAGTGAATATACAGGAAAGTAATTTGTTTTTATGGCAGTCCGGCATGGTATCCGTTCGGCTACGGAGGCAGTTAGGCAGTAGAATCACATTTTATTACTACATAAGTAATTTTTTAATGATTCCGACGATTTTTGCCTCGGAGGCCCTTGGCGCTGAAGGTGTAAGTTCCTATCGTACTACCACATCGTAGTGCGATAATAGTGTTGTATCCATGAGTAAAACAATATAGATGGAAGTTAAAAATTTTTATAAAACAAAATATTGTTATTTTTTAACATATTACTATTACGTTTCAAAAAATATATATATTATAAGTAAGCATACGAAGAGGTGAAAAGGAGGAAGTGATAATACCTCAATAGGATCTAGCGAGCGTAATAGTGACATGGGTATGTAAAGATCTATACAAACAATTTGACCAATAATTTATTTTTTATTTCTTAAAAATTAATAATGTACAGTGATCTACATTGATTGCTATAAACCTTACGAACTAAACCGAGAATGAGATAAAACCAGCTTCTTTACAATGGTACTTCTTAGTACTACTTGGTATTTTTCTGGTTTTACCTGGTATTTAATGGTTTTTAAAAAGCAAGTTATCGGTTTTTTATCGGTCAATCTCGCCGAACACGACGTCGAGTGTGCCTATGATCGCGACTATATCGGCTAACATGGAGTTTTTGCCGATTTTCTCTAGAGCTGCTAGGTGAGCGAAGCCGGGGGCCTTGATTTTGCATCTGTAAACAAAAATGTGTTGCATCAAACGTCTAAGTTTTTCAACCATATTCATCATCAATGTCAATTGTATTATCAAATACTTTATTAACATAAATATTTTACAATGCACAGTAGCTCATTCAATCGTGACTTACTTTAGGGTTCTTGGTATTACGCGAGATTATACTTATTTCGTACGACACAAAGGAGAGAGGCACAAACCACGCCCTAGGCCTTTTTAGGTTATCGACTTCTTATTATACTGTTCAACAAAAAACCTCTTATCGTTATATGTTGTTTTGTATGTAATAAATGTGTGTAAAAACAAATACAAAGCTACCTGTAAGGTTTGGAGCTGCCATCGGACACGAGGTACACCCCGAACTCTCCCTTGGGCGCCTCTATGGCCGTGTAGGTGCTGCCGGGGGGCACTTGGTAGCCCTGCGTGAACAGCTTGAAGTGGTGGATGAGGGCTTCCATGGAAGTCTGCAATAATAATCATTTACTTATATCAACCATAATGTCAAATGCAAGTTACAGACATATAATTATCTAACTTGTGCAATAAAATATTTTTTCATACTTTTTTTGTAATAAAAAACCATCGAGTATATAACCAGAAATAGAGACGAAATAAGGAATGAAACAATCTACGACACCTGTCAATTGTTTCGAATTCGGGCTGGCCAATCGGAGTGCAGTTGTCACAGTAATGATATGGCAGAATAGTTTTCAAACAAATTAAATGACATTTCGTCTCTACTTCTGGTTATATACTCGTTGCAAAAAACCGACATCGAAAGTTTGTGGAAGCACATGTACGTATTTGCCAAGTTTTATTGAAATAACGGGAAATGGGTGAAATATTTTCTTCAAATTCGAATGGGACCACTGACTGAGGTACCTTCTTTTCAATAAAAAAAAAGTACGTAAAATTGAGGCCCGACGTAACACCTCAAAGGGATTCCGGAATCGGGAATTCGGTGGCAATTGTGACGTCAGATCTGGAGATACGCCACAAATGCGCCTGTCCGTGAAAGGCTCGCCAACTGTACACGTTGTGTAATGAACATGTATTTAATTGCACGTATGCAGCACGCGAGCAGCGCGCACGCAACGCTCATGCAGCGCGTTCACAGCGCATTTGCTAGATCTGTACGCACCCTAAGGTGGTGGTGCCAATGATCGTCATTTAAAGGGTAGTGGTGTGTTTTTAAACTTGAAATAACATTTTTGTTTTTGGACGTACATCATTGACCTACCAACATATGGACATTGGGTCTAATACAAAAACCACGAAAAAAATGTCCGAGGTTAACCTATACAAACGTAGTGACATGTAACGAAATATAAAAAACTAAAACATTTAATTTAAATTGTAACGTCATTGCAGTACTGCTTAAATTTGCTTACAACAATTTAAGGGCCCAAAAACATCATATTCAGCTTCTACTGGAAACTTAACAAAATGCACCATATTTAGCCTCGACTGAAAATTACTTGAACACAAGAGTAATGGAACAGCCTTTCTCGTAAATATTAATTAAATTTTATATATATATTATTATGTCGAATTTTGTACAAATTCACTTAATGGTATAATAAAAAGTTGGGCTGATACATACATACAAATATTACTACAAATGTGAAAATAAGCGTGTACTATAAGAAATGTACCGATATTCTAACTAAACGTAAACTCAAATATCCGTAATTCCGATTTATAACAAAACCGTTACGCTTTCGAGGAATTTTGATGCTTTTTACATAGACAAAATTACCTTTTGTTTTGTAATCTTCGTAAAAACATATTATGAAAATTCGAGGTAATGTTATTTCGGGCAAATGTATTTTCTGACTTCTGATAGGTACTTGGTACTTGGTGTAACAGGCTGGTGTCCGCAAATCGACGTCAAGGCGCCTATTTCTGATAGGTAATCCCATGCCGTAAAACGAGTACAACAATATTTTGTTAGTTATTGCTAACGTTTAATAAAAAAATCATTTTAATAATAGGATTAAAATCAAAGCAGCTCTACAGTTTCTTTGTTCTAAATATTTCAATCGCTTGTGGTTCAAACAACTGAAAATGACCAAGAAGTTTATATAAGCTTCTTGAAACTGATGTAATGGGTCTCTTTCCATCTTTTGAGCATGCAATGAGTAGAAAAAGGACAGTTAGCTATTTCATTATTTCGTGTGCTTTTGTAATTTATATTTATGATTCAGTTATATATAAACTAAATACTATAAAACTGTACAAAATAACACTTTTAAATGACAACTATGATAACACAATATATTTGTTTAGTGAAAGTATGATACAAAATCCTGTTTTCACACTTTACTGCAGTAATTTTTACAAGTTATTATTATATGCTTTGACTAAATAAATGGACGACGGGTCTAATACAAAAACCACGAAAAAAATGTCCCAAGTCAACCTATTTAAACGTATTTAAAATTGACAAAAACCTATTTAAAAGTGACAAGTAAAGGAATATGAAAAAGCTAAAACGTTGAATTTAAATTGTAATGTCATTGCAGTACTGCCTAATTTTGCTTGCAACAATTGAAAGGCGCATGATTGACAACCGCACTGTCACTCGAACGAACGAAGACTATTGCGCGATTGACGCTCTGTATGCGATTATTATATTATGCGATATAGATATGCGATATAGCTACAGGTGCGGCACTTTTAAGCGCATACCCGACGTCCATTTATTGGTAGGTAAATGACGTACATCAATAGTGATTAGTTAGTACTTGACATATATATAATCACCAAGAAAGATTATGCTTTAGTATGTTTCATAAAAAATACTATTAACCTAAACTTATTTCTCTAAATCTCCATTGACGATGAACACCAAATAATCGACTAATTAACTAACCAGTCATCGACACCCGCCAATAATGAACACCCAGTAATTGACATTTACCAATATGAAACGAGTTACTACGACAGAAAATTTTGTCCTGTCTTATTTTTTAACTTTTTAACCAAATTAAATAATTAGAAATTTAACTGGTTCCGTGGCCGAACGGTTACCATGCTGGACTGCATGCCACGCAGAGGTCCCGGGTCGAAAAATATATTTGTATGGCCTACATTTATTTATCTCGTGAGTTTGGGTGTAGTTTGTGGTTGTCTGTGTGTCCATGGCACCCGCGATACAGGGTGTCCGAGGAAGCTACGAGTGTGTGCGCGCTATTATTAATGATACGGTCAGTCTCCGCCTTTAGGTTTAAATTTCAATGGAAATTACGCCATACCTTCATCTCCTCTCTTGAGGGAGGGCAGAGTTTTGCGTCGTCGGTTTTGATCTCGCCTGGAGGCATCTGGTTCAAGCACTGATCGATGATGCGGAGGGATTCGCGCATCTCCTCCACGCGGCACAAATACCTGCAAGATATTACATTTTTCTAACAAAAAAAATAATTTTTAAGTTTTTTTTTCAAAACAAACGGAATCACATTTCATCGGTAATTAAATATTAAATCAGTAATTTTTCAATTTTCGCCCATTGTAACAAAGCTCAAGTTGAATTGGTCGATTTGAAGTGATAACAATTGACGACATCCGTCAATTGTTTCGAATTCGAGCTGGCCAATCGGAACGCAGTTGTCAATGTCTCTATTTCTGGTTATATACTCGATGGTCCATGGTAACAACTATGATAGAAATAGATATTTTATTGACTTGCTGATTTAAATGGTAATACTTATTGGGCATGGTAATACAGACCTGTCGTAGCAATCTCCATTAGTACCGATGGGCACGTCGAATTCGACCAGATGGTAAGCGTCATAGGGCTGAGTTTTGCGCAAATCCCACTTGATACCCGAACCCCGGAGCATTACACCACTAAAATAGAAGATTAATAACAAATTAATATACCAGACAGCCAATTAGCTGGACTCAAGCTAAGTTCCTGTATTATACGTATCTTTTAACCGACTTCAAAAAAGGAAGAGGTTCTCAATTCTTTTTTGTATGTATGTTACGCGATAGCTTCGCCATTTGTGAACCAATTTTTTGATGATTCTTTTTTTGTTAGAAAGAGGGTACCTCAGATGTGGTCCCATTTAAATTTCAAGAAAATATTCCACCTCTAAGGGTGGCAAACTAGGGGATGAGTGTCTTTTGAGGTTGGTTTTTTAAATTAGTAACGTATGTTTTCAGCAAGACTAGACTGCACCTATCGAAGCATTATACATTTAAAAATATGCGTGTCTTATTCCAGCGTGATGTTATTCCATGGTCGAGTTTTGGAAATTTGACTAGCCAGAAAAAATGTCGCTATCTAGTTTGTTCTAGTCGCAAAAAACTAGATTTAGTCGGTCCGCCGTTCAAAGGTTGTAAGGGTGTTGCTCAGTCCACGCTAGAAGAAGCTTATTCCAGCGACACCATTTCTCAATCTCGAGAGCCACAACACCTAGCTTAGATCTGATTACACTAAAAAAAGTCGTGATTTAGTATTTATTTATTGTAGTATGGATTTAGTTTAGTGCGTTTGACAGTTTGTGTACTCAAGAATTAATAATTAATGTTAATGAGGATTCAACTGATGATTTTATGGGCGAAATTTAATTTAAAATTCACCATGGCCTAAACCCTAGCCTCAGAGGAGACTCATGCCCGGTAGTGGGACTTATAAATGGGTTTACTCGTACCTAAATCCATAATTCAACGCGTCCTGAGCAGTGACGATCCCAATGTCCTTCGTCCTCTGTACCCAGATGCGATTGGTGGTTAAAACATCTTCGACCTCGTCGAGCCGCTCGGCGAACTTGCTAGAGAACTCGTAGATGTCGTCCATTAGACCAAGAGGCATATCCTTAAAAATTACTATTAAATTTTATATCTGTAGATGAGAGGTAAAGAATCTTGAAGCAATATATAATAGCAATTTTTACTACAGAACGTTGTAAGGAGAATGAGGTTCTTAATTAGGCATGTAAGAATAAAATATGTTAAATAATAACGACGTTATGACTTAATGTTTTTTTTACCATTGTTAGTAAAAATTTTTAAATAAAAAAATATGGACTTAAAAGTCCTCTATCTCGTACCTACAGATATAAGATTTTTTTTATTATTTATTCTAATTACAATGGACATATCCAATTACAGTAATTAGCAAGAATAAAATGTAACAAAACAAAAAGAATAATAAAACAAAAAGCATGATAAAATATGTAAGACAATATTCATGGACAGGTGGACTCGTATTTATTCTTCTCGCAAAACATCATACAATTATTCAAAATGTTCTTCCATCCATCACCATACGTATACATTCAGACTTATCAGACAAGAGTATTCGACAGAGGGAAAGAATCCCCTTCCTTCTAGAAGGAACCAGAGCCTCCACTAGTTTATTTTTTTTTTTATTGTTTTAAGAAAAAAGTATACATAAATATTATAAAGCACCGTCAAACCCTACTTGGGTTTGTCTCGATGCCATTCGTCCTTTCTGTTACGAACGAACTAATACAAAATATTAAAAAGAAAATACTTTTTTTTTGCGACACACTCAGCTCAGGGCTCATTGAAAACCAGCGCCACAGTCAATTGCGGCTGTGGCATAAGCTGAATGAAGTCTTTTTGCGTACGCCACAACCGCACACATGACAGTACAACATTTGTAGTTGTTATATTTAGTATTTTTCTGTTTTGCTCTTTGTTTGTTATTGTCTTATTTCATTTTATTTTAATTTTGTTTATTACGTCTTTTTATTTTGTTTTGCTTGTCTAAGTGGTATCAATATTTTTTTTTTGTATCTATGTGTTGTGGCATTGCAATAAATGTCTATTCTATTCTATTCTATTATTATACTTATAGGTAGGTAGACATTGTTTTTATCTTTATTTGGAGGAATACATTTGTACAACAAGTGAAGACGCAACGGCAAAGTATTTTATCTACACACATATCATAAACCCTCTATAAAGTGTTCAAAAACCGCATATTACGACCAGCATAAAGGTAAACAGTTTTGTTAGAACAAATTTCTTATCTGTGAAAATGTTACTATTGCTTCATTACATTCAAATTTCGAACATCTGTGAAAAACAAAACAATTTGATTGGACCTCAATTCTAATATCAGTCGAGATGAAGTTTTAATCGAAATGAAATGTCAATAGCAAACAATTTTCGCAAATTTCGTTACGTTACTTGATTATCGCACGATATGATGGTTGGGGCCGATTCTAGTTTGTCTGTGAATTAAAAATAAAGACTGCTACGGTTGTGTAATGCGTGAGAAAAGTTTTTATTTGACGCCATTTCGCCAATCGCAACATGCGGTTCCTGAACACATCACAGAGAGCTTATAATACGTGTGTAGATAAAGCAGTGTATGTAACTGTACATAATCACGTACATGGTTACATAAACCCACACTCGTATTTTAAATGCCTTTCATTATGTAACAGTTACATAAACTAGTGGTTTATTATGCCAATAGATACTGAGCGAAGTTATTATTCGGTATAACGTTAGGCCACCGAGGTCGTCTACTTAACCTTCAACGCTAACTGCGTTTTAGTACCGCGTATTCGAATTTGCGTTATTTCTCAAAGTAGCCGCGTGTCCACTCACCAATGCCACTCCGCCGGGTCTGATGTAGGCGGCGTGCATCCGGGCCCCGCTGACACGCTCGTAGAACTCCATCATCTTCTCTCGCTCCTCGAACAGCCAGAAGAAAGGCGTGAGTGCGCCGACGTCCAGCGCATGCGTACCCACCGCCATTATGTGATTCAGTATGCGGGTTAGTTCCGCGAATAGAGCTGTTGGATACAATAATAATAATCTCAGTGCAGAGTACTAAAAAAATCTACATCAAAAGTCATAGCTTGCCACCATTCGAGGTGGATCATCAAAATCGATTCACGTAGTTATCGTAAAACATACATACAACAAAAAAATAGCCGGATGAGAACCTCCTCCTTTTCTTGAAGTCGGTTTAAATTAAAATAATATTATAGGGGTGAAAGCCGAAATTGAGAAACGTCACTGAAATTATACCAATTGTTATTTGTGTAGCCTAAATGACAATTTGAGGCGGTTGGATTTCTCTGACGTGTCGCTTCCAGTACAAGTACAGTGTTCGATGCGGCTGATATTGTTCACTGGTTCTTGAACTTGAGTCCTTGACCCCGGCCGACTGTGCCATTGCCGGTAATACCGCCTATACCATTTAAAAATTCAAAACCTTCTAGACTATGGAAAAGCGTGAGCCTAATGCGCAGTTCACGCTGCGAACGAAGCAAACTTAGCTCAGCTCACGTAGCCAGAGCTCATACCGCGAACCCACTATGTCGTGACGACAGATTGTCGTGCAGTTTACAGTGTCGTGGCTTGTATATTTAAATGAAGTTGTTCACATATAGCACGACACGATGAACTGTCGTTCACGATTTATTATCGTTACAATGAGAAACTGTCGTCACAGTGGGAACAGTTAGAACGACAGTCGTCAGACGATAAAAACGTGACGACAGATTGTCGCAGCTCCTATTATCGTCACGTTTTATTTATCGCTGTCCGCACGTATTCTGTTCCCTGCCCTCCCCTCTCGTACCCCGCGCCCTCTGCTCGATTTGCAGTAGCGTTGGGTCGTAGCCAGAGATGGGCAAGGAGGCTGTCGTGAAACGATAAATTGTCATCACGATCTAGTGGGAATAGCTAGTCACGACAGTCGTTCAACGATAAAAAATCGTCCACGACAGATAGTCGTGATATGGGAACAGGCTAGACACGACAGTCGTCCAACGATAATAAAACGTGACGACATAGTGGGAACGCGCCTTAATAACTTAACACCGAGCTAACTAATCCTAACCCAAAGATCCCGCTAGCTAAGCTGCCGTCCACTAACGAAAAAACGGCTAAGAGACAAACGGTCAAATATCCGTTTTAAATAGCAAAAGATAGAGCACAAAATTTTCTTTTAAAAATAGTTAAAATTGGTTCCACGTGAACTTATCTGAACTTACCCTAACGATGCATAGCTGAAATATCATTACAAAATTTCAATATTCTAAAACTGGGTTATGGTTTCAATATGGTGGTCAAAAAATTGTTTTGTCACTTAGTCGCATTTTAGCTAGCAGAGGGCAGTATATAAAATAAGTCGCCCTTTTGCCGCCCTTCACCCCCGCACGTATCCACAGTCACTACGTATTTTCTTAGGTTACCTTTGCATGCAACTACGTGAGCTAAGCTAGGTTAGCTAGCTTCGTTCGCGGTAAGGCCTGCGCTTTAAATAGAAGTCCGAAGTATTGTTTGTCTATGATATCAAGTAACGGTCAGTACTTAATTATTCATAAAGCTGTGTCGACCCTAATGATTCTTTCATTTGAAGGGAGAGATCGCAAACATTTCTATTCAAGTTCGGAATAGGTAATTGATGATGGATGAGATCAGTAATTAATTATTTATAAAACTGTGTCAACCCTAATGATTTTTTCATTTGAAGGGAGAGATTGCAAACATTTATAGTTCGAGTAGTATTGTATTAATAATTATAACAAAGTAGTGCAGTGACTTCACTTAAAAATAATTGAATATCCATTCAATAAAATTTTAAAATATCGCAATGTTTTTGTTAATAAACATTCTGAATATTTAAATTTTTATTGAATTGATATTCAATTATTTTTTATGTGAAATTACTCCACTACTTTGTTATTATTATTAATACAAAGATCGAACACTCAGAAAAAAATTCCTTCGATCCGGCCGGATTCGAATCAAGGTCTTCTCTCAATCTTTAATCTAAATCAATCTTTAGCACGGTATGCTAGAAGACGTCGGTTCAAATCCGAAGGACTTTTTTTCTGTGTGTTCGATCTTTGCGTTAATAATCATTCTAAACATGTCAAAGTTGGCTAGAGTATAGACAGTAAATCATATTTCACATACTTTAAAGTATCAAAAGAGGTACTCACTTCTAATGTACTTAGCTCTGATTGGGATATCGATATTCAAGAGCTTTTCGACCGCAAGACTGTAGCACTGTTCGTTGCACATCATAGACACGTAGTCCAGGCGATCGAAATAGGGCAACGCTTGCGTATAGGTTTTGTACTCGATAAGCTTCTCTGTGCCGCGGTGCAGGAGGCCGATGTGGGGATCGGCTGCGCGGACCGTCTGAAAGATCAGGATTCTGTATCAACCCATATGTCGCACTCTCAATGACAAAAGTGGCTTATTGTGATTTGTGAGAAACTGACAGAATACATTATTTTTAAACTATGTGCTTGGTGCTAAATATAAATAAATTAAAATTAATTTAAAAACGATACATTAGTTTTCTTTCGAATGTTATTTTTTTAATTGATTTTATCAGTTTCCCAAATAAATTACAAAGATTAAAAATTATTGAACTGTAAGCCGTCACCACATTTACATCCAGAAAAAAAAGAATCTAGATTTAAGAAAGTACCATTTGAATGGCTTATGATAAATTGTTTTTAAAATGTACATGAAATTTTTGAGATTTTGAAAATTTTGTAGCCAGAGACCCTCTATTTGTTCACTATTTTGGTTTGTGTGCCCCTTTTTACTAAATATTTTTTTTGGTTTTTGTTTTGGTATTACGCAATTAAAAATACCTAATGTAATATGTTGTTAGTGCGTCACGCTGAACTGTAAGTGTTCGGGGTATTGGTGATTCTTGTTGTCGATCGTGCAAACACGGTTTAAATGTGTAATCTTTATTGTAGAAAATAGTTAAAATTATGTTATGTTAAATATTAAGTACAGTTATGAATGCACCCGATCTATACGACTTATTGAAATGCACTAAAGTACAAGCGGCTGCCGGCGCGTGTCGCCAAACGCTTACGTCAAAGATGTTCGATTACATCGATACATACAACAATAAGAGTAGTCTTAAATATGTGAACTGTATTTACCGTATATGCTTACAAATAAATGTATCTCTAATAGTTTCATTTCCTATGTGCAACAATCGCGAAAACCTAACTCGATATGTTGTCATAAATTACCCTTACGTCACTTACAAAGCATTCAACAGTATCAAAAAGCGAGTTAGCACAGTATGTGTTACCTCTCCATCGAGTTCTAGCACAAGACGCAACACGCCGTGAGCTGCCGGATGCTGAGGTCCGAAGTTCAGAACCATGTTCTTCACATGCTTCTCTGATGGCATCACTTGACCTACACAAACCACAAACATGAAAGTCGGGAAGAGAACTCAATATTCTTTTAATATTATTTTATTTGAGACAATAAAGAAGTATACAATACATAATACATATCGGGATGGAGGGCTGGTCTATAAATGGACTGGTGGAAAAATGCGATGTACCAGGACATCAGCTCTTTGGGGTCACTGCCCGCTATCTTCCTTTCTATAAAATGATACCCAAAAAAATTATGAACTAATTAAAAACTAGGAAATCCGAGGGCTGACTGCTCCTTCCTTAACTATAACTTTTATTCATCTAAACTAAATTGTAAGTTACGTCTATTCGTGCTGAAATCGACAATACGATCTATACAAGCACTTGGAGACGCAGTTGAGATTAAAAAATCAAAGATTTTATGAAAGCATTTGTGCAATACATAAAAAACAACTTTTCCTTTAAATGTTTTTAAAATTAATTTAGTTCTTTTCATTGCTTATGGAGCGAGGGAAGTGATGGTTACAGCTTTTTGTTATCTGTGCTGTTCATAGAAGACTAAGGGTCGTATTCTAGAACTTTACTCAATGCTCAAGTCTGGATTTCACTGGAAACACAAGCACTGGAAATACGACCCTAATGGCAGGGACTTGAGTGTGATTTCGAGTGCTTTAAACCATACTCAAATCCTGACTTGAGCATTGAGTAGAGTTCTAGAATACAATCCTGAGGGTGTTATTCCAGAACTCTACTCAATACTGAAGTCAGGACTTGAGTATTGCAGTGAACACTGAAAATCATTCTCAAGGCCTTGCCCTTAGGGTCGTATTTCCAGTGCTTGATATCATACTCAAGTCTGCTCAAATCCTGACTTGAGCATTGAGTAGAGTTCTGGAATACGACCCTAAGAAGGCGCGCAAAGATACAGAAATCTCCCATATAGTTCGCATGTTGAGATAGCTTTTAATGGATGCCCTGGTTTTTAAAATACCGCAATTTGCCTCAAAATGCCACTTCCACTACTATATGTTTGTGCTTTGGTCATGTTTGCACCCTGTTTTTTTGCGCTTGCGTTTTTTTTGCGAATGCGGCCTAGAAGAAGACAACTTGGAACACATTTTTTTTTATTGCCGTAATGTATCTGTCCCGCTTTATAACTTATTATCCCCAAAATTCCTCTCAACCTCTTTACTTTAGTGTTTTTCCCCCCATATTTCTACCCTATGTAAATTCATCCAGTTAAACTATATCTTATAAATTTGTGTTACATGTTTCTGAAGTCTTTTGTTTTAAATTCTCACCTGAGCGGACCAATCCATCAATACCGGTTTTTGTCTCAATAGAACTCAATGGTTTCTTCTTTCGACCTTGACATTGGCAAAATCATCATCTCATATATATCATTATGCAGCCATAAAAATAAAAAGTGGACTGGAATGGACTATACAAACACCTACCTAAGATGTTGAGAAATATTTATTCTTATTTGTTTATTAAGAGCAAATATCCAGCCAAATAACCACAAACATTTCCTTATTAAAATAAAGTAGGTAGTTTCAGTGCCATCAGTGACTTCCGAGGTAATTTCCAAGTCTTCAGCAAGCTGAAGAGTCCTGGAGCAACTCAGGTGTTACAACTAAGACCCACTCACGAAGAATAGGCGCCAAACTTCGATTTGCAGAAACCAGCTCGCTACACAATACCACAGTTTCAGCACCCCATGAAATACCTATCTACTCGCCTACCAGGTAAGTATAACACGAGGATCACAACCCTACTCTTATGTGCATTCAATTATAACCATATATTGTAAAGGTGAAACGGATAGTGATTTGGCCGGATACCGAATATCCGGCGAGCACCTAGGCCGGATACCCGGATATCCGGAAGCCGGATATCTGACTCACTGCCGTTAACATGTCGCAATCGGGTTTACAGCGCGCATCGCCGTGATTGATTGATTAGCGAATGATTGCACTTTCACATTGACAATTTGATTTGTAGTGGTCACTTGGTTTTTATAAAAAAATTCATTTATTCGATAATACAAACAAATACACAACAGAAAAATGTCAACACTACAAGAATCGCAAAGTTGAATCTATTTATGAAAATAAATATCACTAACTTTTACCACTTAATGCATAAAAACTGGTCCTCGTCCACCATAATTTGCCTTTATTGAAATTTGAGTATACTAAATTTACAGATAACGTTATCTTTAACTTCGTAATTCTTTCAATTACAAGTAATAAACAGATTGTCAACAATCCTTTAATTGCTGTATATTCTATTTAATATAAATAAATCAATTTTTCTTAGTTTTAAACATCCGGTATCCGGCCTGACATTGTCCTACTATCCGGTATCCGGTCGGATATTGTTCTACTATCCGGTATCTGGCCGGATACCAGATAGTTATGGATATCCGTTTCATCTCTAATATATTGTGATTAAGTTTTATTGAATGTGAGGATGTTCCACCGCCATGATATTCATTATTTTTTGGGAAATCACTACACTACTATGTTATAATTATTAAACAAAGATACTTAGACACTTAGAAAAACGTTCATAGATTTCTCACAGACAGCAATATGGCAAAAATCTCGTTAAAAATCAAAACAATGATCTGCAACAAGCACATAGGAGAATTCCTAAGGTCTTAAGGAATTTTTTCTAAGTGTTCAATCTTTGTTTAATAACTATACTACATTTAACATATCTGCCGTCCGCTGACTAAATGGCGGCTAAGTGACAAAATATATTTTTTAAATATCATAAAATACCATAACCCAGTTTTAGAATATTGTAATTGTTTCATGTAAGTTCCGATAATTGAGTCAGTCAGTCGGGAAACTAGGTAGGTGTGAAAAATATCTATTTGTTTGTGAACGTGTTTATTCCCGTTTCCAAATATTACAAGTTCCGATAAGTTGAATAAGTTAACTAATTTTAACTATTTTTAAAAGAGAATTTTGTGCTCTATTTTTTGCTATTTAAATTGGATATTTGGACGGCAGATATATTGTGATACTTATTTATAAATTTTTTATGAAAGGACTCCATTAATTTGTTGTTATAATTGATAGAAAGACTGGATAATTCTTTTGATCCAGCTGGACTCGAACCAGCAACAATTTCGCCTAACTCAGGTGTCGCTCTCCCAACTGAGCTCCAGAATAAGTCAGCATACCTTACGAATTGCTCTATAATAATTTACACGGTGACACTAACCACTATAAGGTGGGTGGCTGATAAGGTCAGTGATGTCATCAGGGTACATGACTGCCCCCTGGAAATCTTTCAGGTATTCTTGGTCTGGCATCCATCGATGGCCATTGCGATGAGAACTGTCATCAATCAAAATTTTGGTTGTCAGTCACATGAAATAGGTACCATAGTTTGGGAAGATAAATAATTATTAGGGAAGTGAATAAGTTTATTATTGAGTTCTTAGGTTTTCGCGATTGTTACACATAGGAAATGAAACTATTTTTCCGTTTATAGTTTCATTTCCTAAGTTTATTATTATTAAAAAAAGTGACATAGGTATTGATTCAGAGTGGTGTGCTGCCCATAACAGAGTCCATGCACATGCTGGGAGAATGAGAAAATCTCTGTAAAGCCACAAATAATATTATCAAGATAGCCACATATTATTTAGCCTTTTAGTCATGCCACTAGATCACAAGCCTATGCATTGCCTGTCTTTGGGAACACTGCGGACTCATTTTTTAAAGAACCCCATGTCACAGTGCAAATAAAATACTGCAGGATCCCTCCTGACTAAATTTTTAAATTCAAAGGTTATATTTTAGAATTTAGTGGTAAGAATAACGTTCTTAGTGGAAGTGGAACCAATTAATAATTGTTGTAGTATGATTTGGTTAAACAGAACCAAGAAACAGGATATATATATATTTTTTAATTTCACCATACCTATTAATCTTTGAATGCATGTAGCAATTGTAGATTACAGGTTTTGTGGTTTAAGTGACCGTCATTTACTTTTGCTGTTGATTGTACTTAGTGAGCTCAGGATACGATGGTTGTAGCATCACCCATTTTTTGTTAATTTTTATATGTGGAAACTCATGATCAGAATTTGAAAATTTATTTAGTTTTCTAAGTGCCTGTCTGTCAGTTTTTCGATAATAAATTAAATATTAAAATACTTCGTTTTTATATGTTTGTTTTGAGTAGATTAGATCTACATTAAAATGTTGTATTCTTATCAATATTCCCGAGAGAGAATTCAGGCTAAGGCTTTATAGTGTTTATTATGTGCAAATTTCGGTTAGCGCTCTTTTCAACAAGCGAGTCGACAAGTGCGAATCTCCAAAAAACAAAGTACCTACTATGGCAAATTAATGAATTAAAAAAGAAAAGATTCTGCCACTATTCCACACTAACCAACGAACAGTGTTGTTATTAGAAATGTAATAAATCAAGAGAAACAAGTCAAAACAATTTAATTACAAAAAATACGTATCATAACCTCCTAAGTTACATAATTTTATTGTCAACAAATATACAAATTATATAACTAATTGTATTGCTGGGAATTTAAATGTCTTATATAAACTCACTTCACATTGTGAACAGCTGGTAAATTTGCCAAAAGGGCCTTATTTTTGGCCAAATTCGCGGATTTTCGCAGCAAAACATTCAAAAGCGAGGCCATTTTTACAGGACTGCGTTCCGTTTTATCGATAATTCAAATTTTACATCAAAATTTTGATATTGCTTATGATAATGATTGAAATTTTCATTTGTGCATTTTACAATCCGTAGGATATTGAAAAAACAATACATAAATGTAAAATTAAAATAGAAGATTAATATAAACAAAAAAATGGCAGGTAAAACGAACTATTTTCTACATCGTGTCATTTAAAATTCTATATAGAACGGAACAGCTTGTTAACGTCAAGTACTACGTTGACGTTGCGTTCGTTTAGAATCAATAAAAAAAAGTTACGTTCAAGAAACAGGAACATTTTTGAACTTATATTGTTCCTGAATAGACAAGGCCTCGTTGGTGATGACGTTATGGTGAACGCGTGGTCGTTCGAACAGTTCAATGGTCTAAGTCAAAGGGAAATTTTATTGGATCAATCCTAAAATACTTACCTATGTTGCTAATTGTATCGCAGGATGGCAGGAGCTCAACGACCACTGTGGGCGGCGTCTCGCCTCTCCCGTCTATATTTACCGCCATAGTAGGCAGTAAATGACTTTCTATTTTATTTGTATATCGTTTTAAAAAACTTTTATTTTAATTAACATCGTATAAAAAGCTTAAAAGTTGACACTACCTCAGCTTGAATTCAAATTTTTCACGTAGTAAATACGATGGTTCATCTTGCTTGGGTCGAGCGGCAGGGCTTTATTTCAGAATTTTATTTTTTTCCAACGAAATTAAAGTGTATATGGTATACTTATAGTATACGTGATCTATTTAGTTCAGTTGATATAAAGAAAATCGTTGGTATATGTACTTGGTGTAACGGGCTAGTGTCCGCAACGCCGCCGAGGCGCCTATTTTGCGTGTGGATATATACCTATCTTGGTATATGTACTCTTAAAGGTAAATTTCGTTTTATCCTAAGGTTGCCTGGAAAAAATTGCTACTTAGCAGTAAGGCCTGTTGTACATTAGCTTACTACTGTGACACTTACATTACAGTGTTGTCATTGTAATTTTAATGTGAAATAAAGAATATTTCATTCATTCATTCAACACTTTCACTGCTAAGCGGAATCAACCAAAAGCCATTTGAGGTTGTGTCGACTCGTTAAGAGCGGAAAGACTTGCGAGCAGAGGAAACAAATAAGGTATTATGTAAGGGTGAAAGAAAATACACAAGTTTCAATATTGTTTAAAATTTATTTTCGAAATTAATGTCGTAAATTCGATCTAAATTGATTGCTATAAATCTTACGAACTAATCCCGTAGTTCTTAAATGTGACGTTTTCAAGTGTAAATTTATTTTACTTATGGAATAAATGGTTCTTTGACTTTGACCCGTAATAGATTATACCGGTAAAGAATATTTGTCAGTTTTCATTATTTATTTACAATACAATATTAACTAGTAAGTACTAAGTACCAATTAAGGCACAAATTACATTGCCGCGGACGGAATGGTAAAGGAAGCGTTAATTTTGCCTCAAAACGGGTCGTTTTCAGATAACCTCCAAAAATGTGTCCCTTTCAATAACTTTCATGTTATTACATGAATGCTAAACATTATTTATTTAATATGATTGCTTGCTTACTTAGTCTGTGTCACACATAAAAAGACTAATTTACTACGTCACAGTAATACATAAAAATTTAAAAAGTGGGCAATTTCTCATTTATGGGAGCCAGTTCCACGTCGCCCTAATTTTAAGAAAAGAAGAAAAAAATTAAACTCTCGTGGAAATCGCAATATTTTCCATTGAGGATAAACTCTAATAACTTACACGTTGAATACATACCGTAACTTTCCAAATTATTACAAACAAACATGTTTTCTTAGGAACACAAAATGTGTTTCAATTTTTCTTATCATTAGTGTCAATTTACCTAAAAACCTCCTAATAACAAAATGTTCATACCGCATCACCTTCATCCTTCGCACACGCGAGAAGGGGCTCCTGTCGGATTGGAGTGTACACAGTGAAGTAACCTGTGCATTTCCGTTTTAGCAAAAAATCGACTTAAATACCAATTTCAGCGCTAGTGACTAAACCGTTCTCAAATGTAAAGCAATCTATCTAAATAAGTATTAAGTAATAGTTTTATAAACTTTATTGTACATCAATTAGACAAAGGAAACTTTAAAATCCATGCACTTTTATAACGGTCCAGCATATTTTACACACTTGACAATTAAAAATGTATCCAAATATCATTATTGTCGCTCTCATTCTTGTCTACTTTTAAGTCAAATGGTTAATGGTTAAGCCAAACATTTACTTGAAATATAAGAATTAGATGGTCGTAGTGGTGGTGATGACGGCGGTGATTAGATGATGGTGGTGATGATGCTGATGATAATGGTGATCATGATGATAATGTTGATGGTGGTGATGATATATTGATGTACAACAATGTTTATATGACATTAACAAAATACTTATTTAGATTTATTTATTAATATATATTAATATTTATTTATTAATATTCTATCTATCTATATGTAATAGATAGATGCTCTTATATGGATGAGAAGGATTTTGATACAAGAAGTTATATTAAAATATTTGTTATATGTTAAATGGTCTTTTGTGAACGATAAAATGTATATTGTAATAATAATTTCTCATTACTGTGCGTCTTTCTCACTTATGTTTATGAAAAATCATTCGTGTTACCGCAATTTCATTCGTGTGACCTAAAATATCGTTTTTTGTTATGTTTAACTTAAATATTTCTGTGATTTTATAATTATTGACATTGTTTGAACTTATTTGTACGTTTAAGACCTTAAAATCAAAAGAAAAAAGGGTTTTACAAAAATCACTCAAAAAGTGCCATTGAAATTCGGAAAGTGAAATTCACCCAAAACCGCTGCGAGGGAAGGTACGAGCGTTCGTAAGAATTCTCCGGAAGGCACGCGATCTATTTTTTGGCTTGTATCAACTTTGTATGTTCAACAATAGATACAAAGTCCAATATGCTGCGAATGCTATATGAACCGAATTTGCTGAGAGTACAATAAATTACACAAATACATCTGTGGCAATCACGGAAGAAAAAAAACCAAAGGAAGTGCCTTAAGCCTCGATTACTATGAGAACTGATGTCGCCAAAACTCACGCATTCTTAATCTGAAACACTATAGAATCTTGATATTGATTGGTCGTAGTAGCAAATTTAAAAGAAATAACAAATCTGGATTGTTAATATAATTTAAACTTTACCCTGTTGGCGTATCGTCGAAAGTTCGACGTATGATATTATATTCAAATTTCAATCAATGTGCTGCCGTCTAGCGGTTAATTGCTGAACGACGACGAATTGGAGTTATTAATATAGTTCTCCAAACACGAATTTTTGAACTTTCGTTTCTAGTAAGAAAAAAAAATTCGATAAGACGGAAAATTGAAAATTTATTAAAATACATTGACTTACAATTAATGGACGTCGGGTCCGCGCTAAAAAGTGTCCGAACTTATAGGGCGTTAAAATCGTATACAGAGCGTCATTCACGCTTTTCGGGAGCTTTGTCGAGCGGATTCCCGCGGCGGGAGAACCGCCCGTGTAGTATAGCCCTTAGTCTCCGTTTGTTCGACTGACAGCGAAGCAAGCAAAATTATGTATGTAAGTATGCGATGACATTACAATTTAAATTCAACGTTTTAGCTTTTTCATATTCCTTTACATGTCACTACGTTTAAATAGGTTGACTTAGGACATTTTTTTTGTGGTTTTTATATTAGACCCGTCGTCCATTTATTTGTGAGTCAATGTTAAAATAAGACTTTCCGATGTTATGAAATACCACCACGGGTAATATTTTTGGTGCGGCTAACATTTTTGTACTCCACAACAGCACAATAATAAATAGAAAAATCTAGTATTTTAGAGAATTTGCAAGAAAGAATGACACAACCATACCATACAAAGCGAAAATGGCGGTCTGAGCTCATATAGGTCTTTCGAGACCTACAGTTGGCACGCGTCGTACGGTAACTAACCAATTGTACTGTATTTATTGTTCCGTGGTAGCTATAGTCTTCTTCTTAATCTTATTAGTGGATTGTGTTGTCTTTCAGAGTTCTGTCAATGTCACGTAGTTAACCTCTACACGAGAGGAGGTGGATTTATTCTCAAAATATAATACTCATTGTCACCTAAAACAATGTAAATTAGGCTGATTATGCTTAACAATACAACTGAAACTAATTAAGATTATGAAATACTGACACTAAATAAGAATAAAATTCCACTATTTTGCTCTCTACCGTCCCCCTAGCTCCTCTGATACTCTCTTACTAAACATCTCTCATACATCTAATTTTTATTTCAACTCTTTTACCGTTTATGCTATCAAACTGTGGAATTCTCTCCCTGAATCGCATACACTCAATATAGCCCTGCACTAGGGAAACCCTGTGTCGCGGGTGCCACTTTTGTTGGAAAGAATGTACGCCAGATGTGGTCCCATTTAAATTTGAAACTAGGTGACAAACTAGGGGATGAATGACTTGAGGTCGGTTTTTTTAGTACTCTGTATTGTTTTTTCCTTTAAAAGTGTATAAGCATTTAATATAATTATTATTTATGTATTAATAATATTCGTATGTATATTTCTATCTACGTATACGACCTTATTAATCATAATTATGTAGTCTAGAATTCAAACGCGGTTGTGTGAATCTCAGTGACGGATTTCGTGATGGTCGCCCGTCTACTGCTGTGAACAACAAAAACATCGATGCTGTGCGCCGTATGATCAAAACAGACAGGCATGTGACATACCATGAGATTTGGGCATCTTTATGCATAGGCATGAGTCAAATACAATCAATACTACACAAACATTTGGGTGTGAAAAAGCTGTGCTCTCGGTGTGTCCCACACAATTTGACTGAGGCTCAAAAAACGGATCGCGTCACTTGGTGCAATGCCATGCTTACCAGATTCAACGAAGGGGCGACAAATTTGGTGTGGGACATAGTAACAGGTGACGAAACATGGATTTATAGTTACGATCCCAAAACAAAGCAGTAAGCGAGCGTATGGGTCTTTCGAGATGAGCCGAAACCAAACAAAGTCAACTTTTGACAGGTGTCAACGTCAAATAAAGAAAAATAAATAGAAAAATTTATTTTTCAAAATTTTCCCGTGACCCAACATTACACTCGTGTAATTACGCAGTGTTAATGTATTTATGTTGGCAAATCTAACAAATGAATACAATAAAATATTATTTCATTACAAAAATACGGAGTAACGTGCCTTGTAAAGAGGTAGTGTATTCTCGTGTCCATGTGACCCGCGATACAGGGTTTTCCTAGTCCGCACTAGGATAACATCCCACACACCTCATAACCCCGCGGTTATGAGGTGTGTGGGATGTTATTATTATTATTATTCCGCAAACTGAGCCTTAGTGGTAATAATTGAACACATATCTGACACAATGACTGGCGTTTAACGGCACTACCTGGTATTTAATGATTTTTTAAGGGAACGTTATCGGTCGACTTCCCCGAACACGATGTCGAGAGTGCCTATGATCGCGACTATATCGGCTAACATGGAGTTTTTGCCGATTTTCTCCAAAGCTGCTAGGTGGGCGAAACCGGGGGCCTTGATTTTGCATCTGTGGATAAAAATACGTTATATAAATCACTATGCGTTTTGCAGCTTTACCTATTTCTGTTTGGTAAGGGTACTGGTAAAATTACAGGCACATGGGACTTATCGACTTGGGTGACGGGCGCAGTGGCAGTGCCCCTCAGGCGATTTAAAGTTCTGAGCGGTACTGCAACTGTTATGGACAGGCATGTCGCTTAGGGTCACGACTTGTTCAATTACAATCTTTTTACAATTTTTCAAAACGACCCCTCCTACACAAAGTATCGTATGTCGAAATCGACAAGTTTACAGGGGAGCGGTTTAAAGGTCTGAATTCACCGAAATGAGCATATCACGTGAATGTACCATTTCTCAGTTTTATTCGAGAACGAGTTTTAATTTAATTCATTTCATTCTCATTTCAGTGTATTCAAAACTTTAAATTGCTCCACTGTAAGCTTGGCAAATTCGACATACCGATGCCTTACTTACTCAAACTCGTATCTTATAAGAGCGATTATTCAGGAGATCGCAAAACTTCCTATTTATTTTAAATTTCTTATCAAGGGTGTTAATTTGGACGCATTACTTTAAAAATAGGTAAACGCCAGAGTGTGAATATGAAGGAAATGTGATGTTAAATCGGGCTGCAAAATTTGGATACATAATCTATTTTTTACATTTCAGCAACTCGGTGCTTTAAGATACGAGTTTGAGAAAGTTAAGCGACGATACGATATTTAACGTAGGACTCGAAACTCGAACTCGAAAAGTAAGATATCTGTCAATATTAAAAAAAAAAAATGCGTAATTTTTAGTTTTTAGTAGCGTTCCCTTAAATGCGAATTCTTAGAGGATAACCGCCCGAGTACCTCTCGGTTGTCAGGAATATATAAAAGCAGTGCCACGTGGCTGAAACCTCATTTTGTCGGTTGGCGCTCGGTAGCAACAGACGCCTCTCATCCGTACACCCTTAGCTTGATTTGAACAAGCTTACTTTAGTTATTTTTGATTTGTGCAAGGGTTTATTTTTAAATTATTTCATTTAGTGATGTTTAACGGTTTCTTTTTAATAATAAAATCTCCGTTTAGGTTACGTAGTAGATTTTTTTTTAAATTGTGATTTTGATTTATAAGAAAATGTCATTGCGATATCAAAGAATAATAAAAATAAATGTTACCTGTAAGGTTTGGAGCTGCCATCGGAAACGAGGTATACCCCGAACTCTCCCTTGGGCGCCTCTATGGCCGTGTACGTGCTGCCAGGGGGCACTTGGTAGCCCTGCGTGAACAGCTTGAAGTGGTGGATGAGGGCTTCCATGGAAGTCTGCAATAATGTAGAGTTAAATGTAACAAACACACAAGCGGTTAAACGTCTTCGGGTTCCTGTAAAGTAATTCTCAAAATGTATTACTTGTGTAATACGAAAAATAGGAAGCGTTTTAGAACGTAATTAAAACTAAAGTGACGTGTTTTCTTAAGGAACGATGTTTTATTTTTATTCTATTCAGCCTCCGTAGCATGCTGTTGCGATAAAGCAATTATATCCACATGTAGCTGTCAAATTCGAGTGATAAACTTTAAAATTTTACCGTGACGTTATATTTTTGTCGCGAGCACCGCGGCCAATGGCTGCAAAAGAATATCTCAGTGCCAAATATGGCCGCAACGTCACAGCTGATTTTAAAACATTTTGACAGTTCTGCACAACAATGCTATAGTCTGTACCAATCCATTTTAAACAAAAAGTAAACAAAACTGTTTGGTTAAAATTCTAAAGCAACCACTCAATAAATCGAATAAGTAACACTTTCACGTATATTTCGAAGATTTTGACTTGATATCTCATCACTTTTTCCAACAATATTTATTTGAATAGCATCGTAAAATTATATTTGAAAAATGGTAGTCCAAAAGTGAGGTCATGTTTATCTATACATCTATGACTTGTCTATGGTTGCATAGTGCTGTACGAAAAAACATTCGGTTCACTCAATTTAAGTTTTTGTAATCCATTAGTAAATCGAATATTTCAATCGCAATCGAACGAGTATCTAAGATTAAGGATTTGAAGTAAGACGTAAAATTAAGATTTCGGAAATTTCAAATATGCTTAATAGGTTATGTAGGGAAAACCGCTGGTATGACTCAATTGAATAAATCAATTCATTCAATTAATTAATCGATTTGTAGTTGACATTACAATTGGCCATCACTAAACCGTCTATGGTCGGGTCAGTGACATGTTTGTTTACATTTTATTGGAAATGGATTGAAACGAAGTATAATATCAAATATCAACATAAAATGTAATATAATGTAAAATATGGAAAAACTGAAACTACAAAAACGGCATTTTTTGTTTCATCGTTTTCGCGGCGATGATTAAACGTCAAAGATAGCTATATACGCAATTTAATATCGTTATCCTTGTTCTTCAAAATGTATGACAATAGTTCATTACCAAATAAACGAAAGAACGAATGACTCTAGTGCGTATCATACCAGTATTCGCAATAAAAAAATAATAATGGCAACATGGCTTTATCAACTGAAATAAATATGTCACGGGGAGGTTTATCACACATTGCATGCCATGCTACGGCCACTGTATTAACTTGAATTTAAAAACTGACACATTTCGATATAAGAAATATAATCCTGTGCAAATGATGTAAGGTTTAAATTTCAAAGGAAAATTACGCTATACCTTCATCTCCTGCCTTGAGGGAGGGCAGAGTTTAGCGTCGTCGGTCTTGACCTCGCCTGGTGGCATCTGGTTAAGGCACTGGTCGATGATGTGTAGGGATTGGCGCATCTCTTCCACGCGGCACAAGTATCTGCAATATGATATTCTTTGTCACATAAAATAGTACCGAGTGCAACAAAATGGGAAGCTTACATTTCAACAAATTTAGAAAATTAGTTTACTTTGTTTGTACCAATTTCTTTCATGCAACCTAATAATCATTTTTAACTGCCTCTGTGGCCGAACGGTTACCATGCTGGACTGCCACGCAGAGGTTCTGGGTTCGATTCCCAGGCCGGGAGAAATATTTGTATGGCTTACAATTATTTATCTTGTAAGTTTGGATGTAATTTGGGGTTGTCTATGTGTGTGTCCATAATGCCCGCGATATAGGGTTTCCTTAGTGTGGGGTTATGACTGTGTGCGTTATTATTATAAAAAGATGCCAAACAAACGCTACAAAACAAAAAACCAAAGAGCTATAGACACAGAAATCTAAACAAATAGGTGACATTATCGCCGCACTGGTGTAGCTTACGGCACCAGTGCGTGGTTTGTCATTCAGTATTGCTAGAAAAAAAATGGACGTCTGGTTAAACACAAAAACCACGAAAAAATGCCTCTGTCGCAAAATATCATATGTGCGATTTACAACATTCTGTACTGTTAGGAACAAAATACAAAATTACAATATGTAATAAAATGAATAATTTATAAATTGTAATTTTGAATTGAATATGGTGTATTAAGAATGAAATATCTTGATAATATGGTATCTTGCGAAAATGATGTTTTGTGAACGTGATATTTTGCGAATGTGATATTCAGCGACAGAGGCGAAAAAAATGTCCGAAGTCAACCTATGTAAATGTAGTGACATGTAACGAAATATATAAAAAATAACATCTAATTTAAACCGTAACAACATTGCAGTACTGTTTAATTTTGCTTGTAACAATTTAAGGGCCCATAAACACCATTACTTGAACACAAGAGTCATGGAGAAGCCTTTAATATAAATATTTATTAATTTATATATATTATTGTGTCGAATTTTGTAGGAACAAATTAAGCATATGATAAAGAGTTGGGCAGATACATACATAAAGTGTCACTCAGTATCTCTCTGTTTGTTACTTATGTCGTGCTATAGGAAATGTACCGATATTTCGAATTTTTAGATGCCAACTAAACGTTAACTCAAATAACCGAAATACTGATAACTGATTTAGAATAAAACCGTTATGCTTTCAGATAATTTTGAATGCTTTTGTTTTTTTTTTCCTAAACTTCGAGGGACATAGACAGAAAATGGAGACTGCCTTACGACAATATTTTTTAGGTCCTGGACCTGTTCGGGATTCAGGAAATCACTTAAGTTCATAAAAAATTGACGTAATTGGGGACAGGCAGGTACACTATATTTATCTTAACTTTGCGACAGTGGGTCGAATCAGCGGTATTGCGGACATTGGATTTTTTTTCACGATATCTCTCTATAAAAAAATGCCAATCGAGAGACCCTTTGTCCTAATTAAATTGTGTAATATCCCATTTTGCCATAAATCTAAAAGTTTAGTAGGAAAAAAATAAAATGTGCATTTTGTGTATGGGACCATCAGTACCCCATCGTTACAAAGTCTTAGTCGATCCAGTCTTGGAATCACTACAGACGTATTATTAGTACCTTCTATAGATTTGCATACTAAACGCGGGTCTACACCTGCCTATTCACTACTTTTTAGTGCTGACCCGACGTCCATTTGTTGGTAGGTCAATGCGAAAATATGAATAATTACCAACTAAAAGCCTCGCACCATAGAACAGCAACGGACAACAAAAGCCGAATCTGTGCGAGAAAAATATATTAAGATGAGTTATCTTATGCAAACTATGTTAGCAAAATTAAGTCTGGTTTTAGCATATATTTAGTAGCAGTAGAGCCCCTTGTGAAAGAGTTCATCCTGGGAAGTACTGACACCTTACCTATTTCTGCCACCAAGGAGTAATTTCAGCATTACTGCGTTCCGGTTTTGAAGGGTAGAGGTGCTGGTGAAATTACAGTCACATGGGCCTTGTCAACTTATGTCTCAGGGTAACGGGCGCAGTGGCAGTGCCCCTGAGATCTTTGCGGTTTAAAGCTCCGAGTTGTACTGCAACTGTTATGGACAGGCGTGTCGCTTACCATGCGCACGACTTGTTCGCCTCGTCACTTGACGTTATAGAAAAAAAAAGTATGGACCAATAACTGAAGAGGACTATTTCGGTGGCAATTTTTATTATTTGAATATAATAGAATATTATAATGAAGTATTATTTAATAGTTCATAATAATGTACTCAAATACAAAAAATAATATCCACCGAAATTGTATAAATTTATCGATTTACTGATTTATCATGGGGATACTTATCGGACATGGTTAATACTGGCCTGTCAAGGTAGTGAACGCTTGTCATAATAATACTGACCTATCGCAGTTACTGAGATTTATTGATTTACCGACGTATTATGGTAATACTTATCGGACATGGTAATAGACATGTCATGGTAGTGAACGCATATCATAGTAACACTGACCTATTATAGTCACTGAGATTAAATTTCTTGATTTACTGACTTATCATGATAATACTTATCTATCATGGTAAAACTGATCTGTTATGGTAGTGAACGCTTATCATAGTAATACTGACCTATCATAGTCACAGGAATTGATTGATTTACTGACTTATAACGGTAATACTGAACAGACATGGTAATACTGACCTGTCGTAGCAATCCCCATGAGTACCGATGGGCACGTCGAATTCGACCAGATGATAGGCGTCGTAGGGTTGAGTTTTGCGCAAATCCCACTTGATGCCCGAACCGCGGAGCATTACACCGCTGAAATATAACCAGAATTGTAGCAATAAATGACTGTGACTATATATCATATACTTATTTCTACTATACTCCTTGTGAAAGAGTTCGTCTAGGTACTAGGAGGTATCAAATTATGAACATTTTTTTGTTCAGTTAACGAGTTCTCAAATATTAACCTTGTATTAAAATGGGTACGGTAAGGCGATTAACACACTGCACGCCTCGCGACGGAGCTGCGTTTTTTAACGTTGTACTGAAGTACCTCAGTTTGTATGTAAAACACGCGCCGGCCAACACACTGACGACGCTTCTCCGGTTTTACCGCGCCCCCGCGCGGAGGGGTGCGGCGTACCGCAGGGTATGGCATACTGCGCTCCGCACTACCGCGCAGATTTTTAATCAATTTGTGTCTATTCCAGTAATTGTCGTTCGGATGTTCCCCAACGTACAATCAAAGGATTCAGTTGACATTCGTGTGTAGTTGAAAAATTAATCTTCATATTTTCTTGAATCTTTGTAATGAAGTTGAATGTTATCTTCGGTGTCTTTTTATTTGAGTAAACAAAAACAATCGACAGTATAACTTAAGCGTCCTGAATGAGTTCTGTATTATTAACCATTCTTGTCAAAGAAGGATTTCAGCTACATGGACTAGCAAGAACATATAATGTCAAATGATAATTTACAATGTAATAAAGGAACAAACCCTGAACACAATTGAGCTGTTATACGTACCTAAACCCATAATTCAATGCGTCTTGTGCACTGACGACTCCAATATCTTTCGTCCTCTGCACCCAGATGCGGTTGGTGGTGAGGACATCTTCGACCTCGTCGAGCCGCTCGGAGAACTTACTCGAGAACTCATAAATGTCGTCCATTAGACCGAGAGGCATATCCTTAAAAAAATGATGTTCATTTACACAGGGCGTCTCACGGCTATGCCACCTTAAATACCGTAGATAGATTTTTTATTTTATTTGCATTCAAATTCAAATTTTAAATAATCGCTTGTTTTAACAGGGAATTGAACCCGGTAAATGTGAAAAAAAAAGCACCTGTAATTTTACTATACTGAATTTTCTTCTAAATAACATAGCATCTTAAATAATAATAATACCGCACACACTCAACATAGCCCCGCACTAGGGAAACCCTGTGTCGCGGGTGCCATGGGCACATACGTAGACAACCACAAATTACACCCAAACTCACGAGAGAAATAAATGTAGGCCATACAAATATTTCTCCTGGCCCGGCAACCGAACCTGGGACCTCTGCGCTGCAGTACGGCGTGGTAACCGTTCGGCCACGGAGGCAGTCAGCAAATAAAAGGAAGACCATAAAATTAATTTGAAATTTTGTTCAGGAAAATGAACCTGATTTAGTTTATAGGAACCGGTATGAGAGTGAGGTCTTATTAAATGTTCACTGTACTGTCTGGGAAACTCAAAGGCAAAACTCAAAAGCAATACAAAGGGGTAACGCTGCCAGCATCTTGGGCACCTTGCCGCGGGGACCCAATTTTACTCATATAATTTAAAACTTTTTAGTAGTTAAGCTTTTATTGTCTTCTTTACCTTACCTGTTTATTATCTTAATTAAATACAAACATTCACCATGAAAAGATAAATTATCAAAAGAGCGAGAATTTGTATACTACAGAATAAGTTATTTATTTATTTATTTATTTATTGCATTGTCACACTTATTAATAATTTACGTACAGTGGTTTGTAAGTGTACATGTGACACCCTGTAAGGGCACAGCAAAGTAGAAAGGGCACTCACTTATTATTAAATATAATGGTTTACAATCATATGTCATCATATAGAGGTGCAATCAAATTATTTATGATGACTTATTCAATATGGTAAACACCATATTGAATAAATCATCACATATCATACACATATATGTAAATTGATTAAAAAGACACATTAAGTAGGACACATTTAGAGCATTTGATAACTTAAATTGATTATAAGTGGCGTTAAATTATTTTAATTAAATCGCACTACTATTACAATAGTGTTAGATGTAATTAAACAAACTTTTGAAGTTAGTTTAATTTTTTTTTATATAAGAAAGGTATAATTATTGTGACCTTCATCAAATCATTTTTAACGTGTGGCTTTACTATATATCAAGAGTATGAATTGTGCTAATGTAAATCCATCATAAAAATGTATGAGCAACTCACCAGCGCCACACCGCCCGGTCTGACATAGGCGGCGTGCATCCGAGCACCGCTGACGCGTTCGTACAATTCCATCAACTTCTCTCGCTCCTCGAACAGCCAGAACAATGGCGTGAGAGCACCGACGTCCAGCGCATGCGTGGCCACCGCCATTATGTGATTTCGAATGCGGGTCATTTCCGCAAATAGAGCTGTTGGGTATAACCGGGATAAACACGACAGGTGTACGCATGGTGCGAATAACTTAAAAGCGAAATGATAGGGACGTAACAATGAGAATGCCAAACTCGGCCCTGACCATGGTTGCACAGATTAGGTATACATATATCTCTGTGTGGTAGACCAGTGTCGACTTTATTAACTTTATTGCAGGGTGTGAGGCGCGTAGATGGGCGCAGGGTCTTAAGGTGGTTTTTCACCGGCGAGGCGAGGCGAAACGAGGCGAGTTTTTCTGACAAAATTTCAATTCTCTCCCGGCCCATCTTCGGTGGAAATGGTCTCGATTGACGACGATGGGCGAGGCGAGAATAGAAATATTTGTCGATGTAATATTGAACCGTATTGCTTCCTGCATAGAGTATTATATTCTTTAACAGAATCTCTAACAAGATCTCGCAATCTCGCAAGTGCCCGCACGGTCTCGCGCGCACTGTTGATGGCTATTAATAACATGAGATTGAGATTGTGGAGTGCGTACGATTTGAGATTTAAAGAAGATGCTTTTATTTGATTCTTCTTCCGTTAACATCTTTAATAATAATAATTTACGACATGTGTTACTTCAGCCGCGTCTTTATTGCTAGATGAACTGAACAGTACTGAATCTTCATTATCCACAATCATAGCGCGAGCTGTTGATGGCAATTTTTGGTGAAAATAGGCCGGGGAGATTTTCATTATCGTCTCCTCGTCTCACCTCGCCTCGCCGGTGGAAAATTACCTTTAGGTACCGACCGCCACTCGCTCTACTGTTACTAAATATTTTATACGATTGTTTTAATTTTACTATTACTTAACTAAGGACATAAACGATAAGAGGATAAAAAAAATCATAAATATATAGAATTTAAATACTAGAAAAGTCACGCCACTGCAGTGCTATAATTATAAGCATCTAATTTTAAGACGCCCTAAGAATCTCATTCGGTTAAAGCCACAGCCTGGACAAGGCTGTTACGCTGGTTTCCCATGGGTCCTAAAGTCGACTAAGTAATTGACTTATGTGGCAAAAATGAAAGTAATTACGTAAATGCTTTTGAAACTATATAATTTAACAGGAAAGTAACAATTTATGACCTTGACCGATATTAGGTAGTAACTGATTGTTATTGAATTGCATAATTTAATATCCAAAAATGGATCTAACTTCATTTGTATAGAGTGCTCTTGTAAGAAAATCCTTAATCTAATTAGATATAACCGAAGTCGAATGACCGACCTTTAGCCACATTTTATCTACGTGCGCTCTATCAAGTGCCATCATTTTGGCCTTCTATTCACCCTGAAGGGTGTAGAATCGCTCATAAGCCCCCCATTTCCAAGGTGCTCGAACACTTTTTCGAATTTCTCATCAGCCTTTTGACAGCTGTCTCAAAAATGCCGCTCTGAATAACAGCATCTTCCCGCAAAAATGGAACGGTTAGCAGTATTCACAAGCTTGTCAAATCCAAGCACGACCTTTCCAGCTACCGCACCAGCACAATAGCTTATATTTTTGTAGACATACCGATAGAAATCGTATCATAAACCCTTTCGTCACTACTAGGTAGTGTCTCCGGGGAGAATTTTGTTACTCTTGTACTCATGGCTCAGGAATCTAATTTGATGCCAGGTAATTGCCGATTTGACACATCATTATACTACGCACATTATCAAAGCGTTCCCTTTATCACTACATCATCTTTCACATGCTTTAAAGTATCAAAAGAGGTACTCACTTCTAATGTACTTAGCTCTGATTGGAATATCGATATTCAAAAGCTTTTCGACCGCAAGACTGTAGCACTGTTCGTTGCACATCATGGACACGTAGTCCAGGCGATCGAAATAGGGCAACGCTTGTGTATAGGTTTTGTATTCGATAAGCTTCTCTGTGCCGCGGTGCAGAAGGCCGATGTGGGGATCGGCTGCGCGGACCGTCTAGCAGATAAAGAGTTGGTATAAACCCATATACGTCCAATTCGAGGGCACGCGCTTTTTTCTAACGTTTTAATACACCAAAGTAGCTCAATGCTGGTTTGGGATTTATTGGTACAAGGTTCTACTCTTGCGATAACAGCTTCTCCCGGAATCTAAGTCCAGGTTTGGGATATAACATAATGTCTTCAAAAAGCTTTGGAGATTTCAACAGGTTGGGGATTTTTACAATTCTTCGAAGAGTTTGGGAATTTCAACAGGTTGGGGATTCTTACATGTCTTGAAAGAGTTTTGGGGATTTTAATACAGATTCCACATACCATTCAAGGATTTCAGGAACTTTAAAAGAACGGAGATTCCACGTCATTCGTCTAAGAGTATTAGATATTTCAAAAGAATTAACAAGTATTAGTCCTTTTTCTAATTGAATCTTTCACGAATTTGGCTTATATCGAATAAGCTATTTACATAAATGGGCCTTAGACTGGTAGCAATTTTGCGAATTGACCTTTTATCTACTAAACCGACGATAATTCCGTACATTTTCGAAGTTTCGTGGACTTACTAGTTTAGTGAGCTCGAATCCTTACCACTACGCATTTGTCCTCACGACCTTTTCTTTCCCCGTTAAAGAACTTAAAATTAGTAATCTAAACAGCACAAAATTCGAAATATTCAGTAGTGAGTGGCCACTAAAACTTGAACTTTGGAGAGTGGAAGGTAAGTAGTCATCCAACTAGGCTACCAATGCTCATAACAGAAGCATATAGGTATAATGAATATAATATGGTGGGCCACAGCTAGAGTAAAAACTGATGTGATATTACACTTTAGAAGCATGATATACCTCTCCATCGAGCTCCAGCACAAGACGCAACACGCCGTGAGCAGCCGGATGCTGAGGTCCGAAGTTCAGAACCATGTTCTTCACTTGCCTCTCTGCAGGCATCACTTGACCTGTACAAATAACAAAGTTAGAATGTTGGAAGGATACCTCATTACTCTCTTTTAGTTATATTTGGGGCAAAAAACCAGTTATACATACAATATCGCGGTTGCACTGGGAAAAACAATTATTTCACAATTGAAATTTCAACAACGAATATTTTTTACAAATGTTCCATAAACAGTCATGGAAGTTAATTTGTAACGGAAGATTCCTCATTTAATATTTTACCGAAACACGTGTAAGTACTTGCGTTATACATAACATTATGTTGCGTTTTCTATATAGTAAGTCATTTGCTGAAAAATTCCAGATAATTGGTTTACGCAGTAAAATACTAATAATGCACTATTCCTCGGGTCATGTATTTGTTTATCAACTTATAACAACCCTTGATGAAGAATGATATTTGATATGTAATTTAATGACAACAATATTATTATTAATGAATTGTTAATTTTGTAATTATTGTGTATTTCTCATTTTATAATATTCATTTTGTTTGACGATCTCAACATTTTCTTATACTTTGACTTGTAGTGCACAATATAAACTTGTATTTAACAAAATAAATGAATCTGAATCACTAGGATTGGCCTTTGCAATCGGTGGAAAGTAGGAACCAGGACTTCAGCTCCATGTACAATTTATTTGTGCCATTCCGTGTTGAAACCTTGGATTCTTAGGCCGTATTCAGAGGGGCCGGGCGCGCTGGAGCCTGTGTCGAGGCGGGTGCGGCCGTGGTAGGTCATACGCCACGCGGGAGGAACTATTGCTTGGTCTAGCGTCTAGCGCCTGTTTGTAACTTCGACGTGTGGATGTAACGGTTTAGTCACTTCGGCACTGTGAAAGAGAAGACGCCAAGACCCGCGCGCCCGCACCAGACTTCACTCTGAATGAGCCCTTAGGATCACAGTGCCGTTTGGGTGCACGAAAGGAGCCTCACGTACTTTCCCTTCCTGGAAATCTGGTGCACCTTGGGCAACAATTGGCGAGTACCCAACGAAGATTGGCAAATTCTTTCACAAGCATTACAATGTATGCCATCAATACGATAAGAACTGCCTTTTTTCTATAAAATGTATAAACCAGTACGGAAGCCCAAGGGCTATAAGCTGCCTCGACCAACACATTAGCACAGACTTACAAAGGGGGAATGTGTACACTACACATACACTGGTGCTCCACAGGTACCCTACTTTTGATGTTAGTATCTTTATAAATAAAGCATTTTATCAATACACAATTACATCTTAGAAATAGCACAAAAAAATCTTAATGAATAACAAACAACACAAGTTACATAACCACATAAAGCGCGACATACACTATGCGAGAATAGCAGTATCTCGCGTAATATAAGTACAGAGTGAGATTCCATCACAATGTGATATTTTTAGTCATTGACTTACAATTATATGGACGTCGGGTCAGCGCTAAAAAGTGTCCGAACTTATAGGGCGTTAAAATCGTATACAGAGCGTCATTCACGCTTTAGTCTTCGTTTGTTTCTTCTGACAGCGAAGCAAGCAAAATTAGACAGTACTGCGATGACATTACAATTTGAATTCAACGTTTTAGCTTTTTCATATTCCTTTACATGTCACTATGTTTAAATAGGTTGACTTGGGACATTTTTTTCGTGGTTTTTGTATTAGACCCGTCGTCCATTTATTTGTAAGTCAATGTTTTTAGTGTATACATTCAGCAGTTGGTAAGTAACATATGAACTTTATTAGGTAATACCATCGAGTATATAACCAGAAATAAAGATGAAGGTCAATGCGAAATGTTATTTAATTTGTTTGAAAACTATTCTGCCACATCAACAACAGTGACAACTGCGCTCCGATTGGCCAGTCCGAATTCGCAACAATTGACGGGTGTCGTCAATTGTTTCACTTCAAAACGACCAGTTTAACTTGAGCTTTGCTATAATGGACAAAAATTGAAAAATTACATAATTCAATATGTAATTACCAATGAAATGTGATTCTGTTTGTTTTGTAATTAGATGTTTTGCTGTTTTTCCCAAACGACTGAATGGAACAGACCCCCATAGTTAGAGATATTATCTTTATTACAATAAATACGCAATATTTTTGGAATATATGGAGACGTACACACAGGTCAGTTGTTGATGCTGTACTATTTCAGCTTTCTAATTTGTGATAGAGTTGATATTTAAAAGTGATATCAGCACCATTTGACTGATGAATTGCCAGGGATGGATGGCCCGTATTTCGTCTCTATTTCTGGTTGTATACTCCATGGTATATACATATAGGCTCCTTGTGAAAGAGTTTGTCCAGGGAAGAACTATTGAGGTATTATAGATAATTATTTGGTATAATTATAAATGACAATTATTACTTTGAATCCTGATGCACACTCAACAATGTTGAAACCAGACCTAGGATTAGATCGTATATATAAATAGGTATGACCAGTATAAATTTTTTTTTTTCTACAAATAATATGTTTATCAATGTGTGCTAATTTGTGTTCTACATGCTTTAGTATTATACCTTGTGAAGTGATTGTACACGTACTGACTTTTTTCTTTTGCCAACATGTAATCGGTCTTATTTAAGACCATAAGCAGTTAATTTTTGATATATTTTGACATGTCAGACCCTACCCTTATAACCCTTCCAAGATAGGGTTTCCATTATGTGGAAAACTATTCAACTGACTTAGTTAAATACTAAATGTGTTTAGTTAAATCTTCTCATCCGTGGTGGCGCACACAACGTGATAGCCAGTTTGTTGATATGAGTGGCTATTCTTTCTTTGTGCTGAATAAATTTTTCATCTATCTATCAATGTTGTCTTATGCGTTCCATATTTAATCTGTTAATAAATTAACAATATTTATAAAGCATATAGGTACATATACAATAATAATTTACAATAACAATAATTATAAAATTAATGTTCATTTTTTATTATCTATACAATTAAAATTTTGTCAATGGCACTCAAAGGTTGTCTGGAAGATATAGCTCTTAGCGATAAGGTCACCTTTGCCCATAATAGTTTTAAGCTGTCTATGTACTGTTTTTGTTCTTGTATGTGAACAATAAGGTATATATCTATCTATCTATAAAGCAATATCCCTACTCCCATGTGCAAGCATTGTAAAGAGTCTATCAAGAATCTACTAGAAATTTTTAAATAGACTAACCGCTGTAAGCTGGGTGTTTGATAACACTGGTGATGTCATCAGGGTACATGACTGCTCCCTGGTAATCCTTGACGTACTCCGCATCTGGCATCCATCGATGGCCCTTCCGGTGTGAACTGCCAACAGTCAATTTTAGACAAGTTTCAAAATACAAAATAGATCTATGTAATCTATGGCATAGGTATAAATTATGCTTTGAGAGGTGGAATGATGCCAGCATTATGTAGGTCTGTAACAGGAATTTAACTTCAACAAATTAATTTTATATTAATTACACAAATATCTCGTTTTCCTGTTTGTATGGTGCACAAGGATAATAAGGATAAAACTTAAATTCCGGTCTGACTATGTATGGACATAAATATGTAGTTAAAAGGCGCGAATATGGACAGAAAACATAGAAAACGTGATTTATAGTAATTTATTAAACAAAAGTCAACAAATATTTATGTACATACAAAACAAACCCATCGTAACCTTCAATGTTACATAATATTTTACTTAGTAACAGCAAAGATTACAGAATATGTAACAGAAACTCACTTCACATTGTAAACAGCGGATAAATTCGCCAAAAGGGCCTTATTTTTGCTCAAACTCGCAGAGTTTCGTAGGAAAACATTGAAAAGTTGAGCCATTTTATTTTAGAACTTTTTCGTCGACAAATTAATAATTGATGAGTTTTTAATGTTTCCCACACTTTCCCTTTTTCCAAATGTTTACGTCAATTTTTTATTATTTACGTCACTCACGACGATTGATGGCGTTCATTTACGACCAATTTATAAAAGCCGCGTTCACGAAGTTCTAATAACAAATTAATATTTTTGTATCGTTTTTCGATCAAACGGTTAATCGTGAATGAACTGACTCCATCCATCCAAAATAATAATAAACATTTAATTCAGATAACAAATCCATAAATAATAATATGGGTTAGCAGCTTATTATTATGGAAGTTCTATTTGAAAATAGTGGTGAAATAATTTTAAATTCGAGTAAATTATTATTCGAATTACTGTCAGACTAATACACCAATTATCTCTCAAATTAGGAAATTCTCTGTACTATAAGTATGTACCTACTAGAGCAACGATATTCTTTGCAGTAGGGCTAGGACGATACGGCGCGACTTAGAATAGCAGTATCTCGCGTTTTTTGTCGCTCTCGCACTAGTCGCGCCCTATCGTGCTAGCCCTTCAGGGCACATCATGTGCTAGCATGGATTGTTTGGCAGGAGTCCGTGTTTTAAAGGGGGGATTCATTATCCCGATTGCAGTCCGCCTGCCGTCCGCCGCGTAATGCAGGATTATGAATGTAATCTGTAATGCGTCCGTGAGTGAGCAGTCCCTTCTTGCGGGGCGGACTGTCATGCAGGTAGTGAATGGGCCGTTTTACCTTACGCACTTTAAGTGCAATTATGAAACTAAAAACGAGCCCTGGTTTTTGCCTGTTTAGAACTATTGCTTTGAGATCTTTTTAATGCCACTGGTAACAGATCCACTTTCGTTAAGATTTACCTACTTATAACTTAGAGGATGGAAAAAAATACTTACAACATCTATTTCCGTAATGACACTTCCATAGCATCACTATTGTCTATAGAATATACTAAATATCAAACTTGTTTATCTTATTGTATGATGTACAGAGACCTTAGAGGAAGGAAAGACAGAGACACAACCAAAATAGGTGCCTTGATGTCGAGTTGCGGACACTTCCATCAATCTATACATAGATTCAATTTCGCTTACGATAATAATGGTCTAAATTATACTTTGAACCTTAGCTTTGAACATTACAATGACTTGAAGGAATAAGAAGTACTTTTTCTGGATTTTGACCAACAAAGTCATGCCTAAGACTTGAGATCTGACCGCCAAAGTTATTACTTAATAAATATGTTAAATATCAAAATCTAAATAAAACAAGTTGAAACCATATTTCATTAATTTATTTAATAAAATTAAAGCTTATAAACTATTCTACATCCTTCTCTTGAATTTCAGGGAGATCTCTATCAGTCTCCTGGTCAAAGTAGTTTTCTGGTATCACATAATTTTCTGGTGGCCTCATAGGTCCATATAATTTTTTCTGTTCTGTTTTCTGTTGTGTATTTTCTGTGCCACCTTTAGGATTTTGTACTTCAGTATTTTGTTTATTTGGACTTTGTATCTTTGTACTATGCAAATGTGTACTTTGTTCTTTTGTATTTTGTTCACTTGGGCTTTGTGTTTCTGTACTTTGCGGATCTTCCTCGTCGGAGTCAATTTCTTCGACGAATTCTTCCTCTTCCTGTTTTGATTCTTTTTTCACTTTTGGTTTTCTGGCAATGTCATCTTTTAGTTTAATTCTGAAATAAAGAGTTAGAGGACACGTAAAATCATTTTTTTTTATTAATAACAGATTAATTTATATGAAAAACTGTTGCCAAGAACAGGATGAATTCGTTTTATACAGAATACTACCGTAGGACTTAAGACATATTAACTGCCTCAGTGGCCGAACGGTTACCATGCCGTACTGCCACGCAGAGGTCCCTGTTCGATTCCCGGGCCGAGATAAATATTTGTATGGCCTATATTTATTTCTCTCGTGAATTTTAGTGTAATTTGCGGTTGTCTATGTGTGTGTCCATGGCACCCGTAAAATAAGGTTTTCTCTAATGCGGGGCTATGTTGAGTGTGTGCGTTATTATTATTATTAACTAAATTAAGGGCGCGTTCCCATTATGTCGTGACGACAGATAGTCGTGGTTTGAAGTGTCGTGGTTTGTATATTTAAATGAAGTTAGTACAACTGTCATTCACGACTTTTTGGACGTTAGGACAGACTGTCAAGACAATGGGAAGATCTAAAACAACAGTCGTCTGACGATAAAAATGTGACGACAGATAATCGCAGCTACTGTTGTAGTCACGTTCTATTTATCGTTGTCTCATATCTGCACACAAGGCTGCTGCCGTAAACTGATGAATTGTAACGATCCAGTGGGAACAGCTAGGCATGACAGTCAATCAACGATAAAAAAAAGTCCACGACACGGTTACGACAGATAGTCGTGATATGGGAACAGGCTAGACGCGACAGTCGTCTGACGAAAAATAAAGCGTTACGACATAATGGGCACGTTTTATGTCGAATTTTTGCTCGTAATCTTAAGCTTCCACGGCAATCTCATCCAGATCTTAAGCACGTGATGTGGTTAGTGTAGTACGCAATCCTGCGCCTGCGCTCGTACTGAATGAGGGCTATCAGGGTTTTGGAGCGCAGTTTTCGTTGAGTCTCCGCCGCAGAATCCCATCATTAAGAGTTTATGCAACCTCAAATGGCTTCGATTGATTCAGCATAACAGTGAAAATGTTAAATCAATCACGTTGGAAAAAATATATAGTAAAGATATACACTGATTAGTATACAGTGTGGTACATTGAAATTTTACAAGAAAACCGCGGTATTCAATAGGTACTTTGCATATACCAATGATTTTTTTTTTATCAACTGAACTAAATAGAACATGTGTAATATACTGTATATTTTTTGGAACGGCTCTAATTTTGTTTCTTAAACTGCCTCCGTGGCCGAACGGTTACCATGCCGGACTGCCACGCAGAGGTCTCAGGTTCGATTCCCGGGCCGGGAGAAATATTTGTATGGCCTACATTTATTTCTCTCGCGAGTTTGGGTGTAATTTGTGGTAGTTTATGTGTGTGTCCATGGCACCCGCGACACAGGGTTTCCCTAGTGCGGGGCTATGTTGAGTGTGTGCGTTATTATTATTAAAAAAAAATGTATAAAAAAAAATGTATTCGTTTGTCAAAAAATAAAATCTGAAATAAAGCCAGTGTCCCTGCCGATCGTCCCAAGCAAAATAAACCATATTAGTACGGGAAAAATTTGTATTCTAACTCTCGTATCGACTCTCAAGGATCACGAAGTGGTTTATAACAAGTCGAGCAAAAATTCGACTTAAAACGTGAATAATCCGTTAATAGGATGAATATGTGTTGCTAAAGTTCAATGACCTTACCGTTTTCCATAAACGACGGAGTTGGTTACTTTGACGGCCATCTTGCTTTCATCTTTCTTTAGCAAGGGCGGCAGATGCGCTGGCCGTGCTATCTCTGCCAGTCGCTGAGTCTTTGACAGCTCCGATTTCAATTTTTGGATTGACATCTGTGAAGGGAACGTAGTGTTATTAGCTGTTAAACAGTGGCAACACTGTCACAAGTTTTACAGAGAATTATTATTAACTAGAAATTTTGATTGAAATGGCAAAACTAAGCTAAGAAGGAAACTCGTTGACGAACACCACCAACGAGTCCAGGAATTATCGAATGCAATTTATTTCATTTCTCTGTTTAAATGCAATGTAAATACTATAGATAAAAAGTAATTATTATTTTTTTTATTAATAATAATTATTTTCCATTTTTCGACTGACGACTTGAATGCAAAGTCATGAAATAAATTTTAAAAAGCACAGAATAGTCATATTTATATGCTACCGTATATCACCATATTAAATCTTTCAATGAACGAGATTAGGTTACCCACGGATTAAGCCGAGACACGTACAGATCTGTACATTTTAATATATATTTTATAATTCATAGCATGCATTAATAGCACCTGTCTTCTTTGAAGATGGAGTAAAATGACAGTTCATTGGGTAAAAGTGTGTGACAATGGGAAGAGCTAGAACGACAATCGTTCTACGATTAATATAACGCCATGATAAAAATGTGACGACAGATAATCGTAGCTTCAAACAATTCTGTCGTGCAAACGACAAGGCGGCTGCCGTGAACCGAGAAATTGTCATCACGATCTAGTGGGAACAGCTAGACACGACAGTCGTTCAACGATAAAATAAACGTTCACGACACAATCACGGTAGATAGTAGTGCTATGGGAACAGGCTAGACGCGATAGTCGTGCAATGATAAATAAAACGGTACGACATAATGGGAAGGCGCCTTAAAGAACAAGATCTGTCAATGTGCAGCTTAAGGGCTCGTGCAGCGTGCCGGCGATATGTCGCGACTAAATACAGTGCTGCATGCGGGCGACTAGCGACGTAACATTACCGGCAACCGACCGACAGCTTAGTGAATTTTCGAATAATTATCGTACCTACAGAGAAAATGGATATACAGGGTGATAAAAAACCACTGACCATTTTAAAGAAGCATACTGCATAATGGAAATAAAAAATACATGTTCGGTTTTCTTTTCAAGTACTTCACAAATAAATAAGTTATGACTTTGTTATGACACTGTTGCTATAGCAATAAGAACGGTGCGGAGTCAGCGCGCGAGTTCATATATTTGACAGAGAACAAAGTATTAAACTAACGCGCGATGCGTTAGCGCAGTCTGCCGTCGCGCTGCGCGACGTGCTGGCGCCTAGGCGTCTAGACAACTCGGCGCCGATCGCTCAATTTTATTTACTATTTTGAGGGAACCACGCCTTAGAAATTATAAGGAAATATTAAGATCAAAAATTTGAAATTGGGAATTTTTATTTGTTTTATTTCACTAATGTGTCCTATTACTGAATCTTATGCACAGGAAAAAAAAATTGATTTTCTTATCACCCAGTAGTATCAGAACTTTTTTGTTAGAAAATTCCGTTTTACGGGTCTCTGCCATAGGAAAGATAAGAAGGAGATTTAATATACTTTTAATTACTTAAGTAATAATCTAATAATAATAGGAACGTTAATTGATCATCTAATAGTAGATCGAAGGCTTTTGTTGGACTTGTGTTTCCCGCACAGGCTCATTAATGGACTGGTCCAATGTAGTGATTTACACGAATGCATTTCTCTGAGTGTCCCGTATAAATATCCTAGAAACGCAATAACAAAAATTATCTATACCCCCCCCCTTGTAAAACCAATCTTGGCCTTCAATCCCCTTTGACTAGGATTTTCAACGAGTACAATACGATTAACAGTAAAATCGAGGACTTAGATGTGTACCACGACAGGATAAATATTTTTGTCAATAAGATTTCAAAATTATTCAAATTCGCGCAGTAGGTATTCATAACGTTAATTTAAATTAAGTTAATATAAGTACCCTTCTATTATAAATGATATGTACACCGTAATTGTCATATATATCAGATGTAATTCCGTATGTTGAATGTTGAAATGTTGTAATATATATGATGTGGTCATTGACTTACAAATAAATGGACGACGGGTCTAATACACAAACCACGAAAAAAATGTCCCAAGTCAACCTATTTAAACGTAGTGACATGTAAAGGAATATGAAAAAGCTAAAACGTTGAATTTAAATTGTAATGTCATCGCAGTACTGTCTAATTTTGCTTGCTTCGCTGTCAGTCGAACAAACGAAGACGAAAGCGTGAATGACGCTCTGTATACGATTTTAACGCCCTATAAGTTCGGACACTTTTTAGCGCGGACCCGACGTCCATATAATTGTAAGTCAATGGATGTGGTAGTACTTAATAAATAAATAAATAAATAAATAAATAGTCGCAAGCGACTTGCGACGGCTGATCGCTTGTTGCAAGTCGCGGGCACGCTGCACTAAGCCATTTATTTCTACGTGTTTAAACAAGTCGCAGCAAGACGGAGCGACCGCAGTCGCGAAATATCGCCGGCACGCTGCACGAGCCCTTATGTGTTGCCGTCTGTATATTATTATTAATATAAGGACTAACCTTCGTTTTAGATATTTCAGCCTTATCCGCCATGCTCTGACCTTGCTTGCCCAATGACGTCATGTATTCGTCCAGGGCGTCCAAATCGCTGTCCTCAGTTTGAGCTGGCTTGTGGGCAGAGCGCAGTCGCTCCAGTGTTTTTTCTTCAGAAGATATTTTGGCTTCTATTTCCGCTATTTGTTTCAACTGTGAAAGAAAATTCGCTTGTTTATGACACTTCATTTTTATATAGAGTTTAGTTTTTTTAGTTAGTTTATTGCTTTAACTAATTCACATGAACGTGTTGAAAATGAACTTTAAAATTAGTTTTTTAGGTAGCTCAATTGTTACCAGAGATGCGCGGCGAGTGTGATATGAAAAAACTTATATAATTTTTCAGTTTTTATTGAATGTCATAATGTTTTACTACATGATATTCCATCGAAGAATTTTTGTTTTGATGTTCGATTTTTGTTATTAATAATTATTACAAACTTGCATACCGTGTCAGACGCTATACCAACTAAGCCACGGAACGAACCAACGGACCTCACGAATTTTTCTATGTGCTTGCGTTGTGTCTTTGTACTTGGTCTTTCAACGATTTTTTAGTTAGATGGCGCTACGACTAAGAAGACGTCGGTTCGAATCCGACCGAAGGAATTTTTTCTGAGTGTTCGATCTTTTTATTAATAATTATAACAAACTAGTGGAGTAATTTCACAAAAAAATAATTGAATATCAATTTAATTATTACAAACTTATTCAGGTTTACGTTATAATGTATTTTTTTGTTTTGTATAATACGGACATCGAGTATGTAACCAGAAATAGAGACGAAATAAGGGCCACACATTCCTGTTAACTCATCAGTGATACATCACATATAAATATCAACTCTTGTTTGCACTGAAATATAAACAGCGCCAACAACTAACCTGTGTGTACGTCTCCGTATATTCCAAAAATATTCTGTATTTATCGTAATAAAGATAATATCTCCAATAATAGCGTGCTGTTCCATTCGGTGGTGTGGGAAAAAAACATCTAATTACAAAACAAACGGATGCAAATTTCATCGGTAATTAAAAATTAAATATGTAATTTTGCAATTTTCGTCCATTACAACAAAGCTCAATTTAGCAGGTCGATTTGAAGTGAAACAATTGACGACACCCGTCAGTTGTTTCGAATTCGGGCTGGCCAATCGGAGCGCAGTTGTCACAGTAATGATATGGCAGAATAGTTTTCAAATAAATTAAAAGACATTTCGTCTCTATTTCTGGTTATATACTCGAGGGATATGGATTTTGCAAGAGACGCTTTTCGTATTATATGTACTTTGCATTTACATGCAAAGTACATTTTGTACATTTGGACTAAGGGCAAAGTATATCTTGTACATTTGGACTTAACGCAAAGTATATTTTGCTCATTTGGACTTAGCACAAAGTATGTTTAGTACATTTCATTTGAACACAAAGTTCATTTGGACTAAACACAAAGTTTTATTTTTTTATAACGTCAAGTGACGGGACGAAGAAGGCATGCGCCTGCTGGTAAGCTACATGCCTGTCCATAACCCGCCCGTCATCTTGAGACATAAGTTGACAAGTCCTATTACCATTCAAAACCGGAACACGGTAATGCTCACACTACTGCTTGGCGGCAGAAGTAGGTAAGATGGCAGCACTTCCCTGGCTTAACGCAGTGCTAAACAGGCACGCTGCCCTCCTTGTCATAACTCTCAACTCATAGATGGCGCTACGACTAAAAAAGTCGTTGTAGGAAACCAAATACAAAGATACGACGCAAGCACATAGAAAAATTCGTGAGGTCCGCTGGTTCGTTCCGTGGCTTAGTTGGTACAGCGTCTGGCACGGTAAGCTAGAAGACGTCGGATCGAAGGAATTTTTCCCGAGCGTTCGATCTTTGCATTAATAATAATAAATCTGAAACTAAATAAGAAATAAAAAAAGCCGCTTACACGGGTTGTCGACCTTGTTTCGCTGATTCCAAATATGTTAATAGCTCAGTTTCGCCAAACAGTCGATTACGTAGTTATGGTGAGGAGGGCAGCACGTGCCAGGAGGGTAGCACATACCAGGAGGTCGTAGGTGAGCGGCTGCGCGGGGCGGGCGCGCTCGGCCGCGCCGTGGCGCTGCATGCGGCGCGTGCGCTTGCGCTCCACGCTGCCCGTGCGGTCGAGGAACGTGTCGTCGTCCGAGTCGTAGAAGTCGTCGGCGCTCCAGTCGCGCTCCTTGCGGCGGCGCGACTCTGAATTCAACGCGGTGTCATGATAACTTTTTTATGTAAAAAAACCTCGAACATTTGTGAACCCGTTCAAATTTGAAGAAATTATTTTCCCTCTAAGGGTGCCAAATTAGGAACTAAATCCGGTTTACATCATTTTCCGTCAACCGAATTAAATAAAACTTGATGAACAGATGTCCAAAATCCCCCTTCCTTTAGTGTGCTTTGTCCACTCTTCATTTATTGTACTCTCTTGTGAATTTTTTCGAAATTTACCGGTCAATCTTTTAGTTAAAAAGGCGTTCCTCAACTTGGCATTGGCGAGTTTACCGGTATGGTATCGATGGGGTTGTAACGTTATAAAGTAGAAGTCATATTTTTACAAAACTACCGCACATAGTCATTTTAACTTGACATTGGCGAAATCATCGTTTATTTCGTTGGAGCCAAAGCGTTTAAAAGAAAACGAAGATGTAAGAAATGAAACTATTTTTCCACCCATGTCATGGATAAACCTACACCTTCAATGAAGTTTGACAAACCCTCAGTTCTTGCAAAAGAAGTCCGTTATCTACCCAGGATGCTGCGAGAGGCCATTGAATTTAAAAAAACATCCTAATTTCAACAGGGAAGATGGTTTCTCCGTACGACCAGTTTGGGATCCAGTATTTCCTCTAATGAAAAATCTATGCAGTACTAATTAATGTTTGAATTTATTCTAATTTTCATTATTAATTAATAATAAATTTAACTTAATAAAAATTCATATTGTTAAAATAAAATAATTTGTAAAACATATTCTGTTGTAGCGTAAATTGGAATGTTTCTTTATAAAATTAGAAATCAGGTGTTTAATTAATAACTTTTGTAACTGTAGTATAAAAATAGAGTGGTTTGCATTAATTTTAGACATAACTGGTTGATGACTGTACCACCTGTCATCCGTGACCATGGGACCTGTAAAGGACCCGAAACGTTGGTTGGTTTGAAAAAACAAATATACGCGATTTAAATCCGGAAAAATAGTTTCATTTCTTACGTGTAACAATCGCGAAAACCTAAAAACTCGATAAACTGTTGTAATTCCACAAACTTTTGAGGTCAGTTATAATGTGTCAACTTCCATGCAACCTGTGTTATTATGAATTATAAACACTAAAGCTAATTTACATGGGATACGTATAAGTCCATTGCCTTGTCTGTGACTAATATCCATAATAATTAGATATTTTGAGGGGAAAACGATTGTTAAATAAAAATTTACTAATAAATAAACTCTTTAATTTCAATGTGCACGTAAAAAAAAACTTTTTTTTTAATAAGAAGACTGTTCAGGCTGATTGAGAAAGCATAAAAAGTTAATAAAGTTGTTTCAATAACGCATTTTCGGCAAAAATTGGCAGTTACGCCTTTTCTTCCCATAACCATCGATTATGAACGTATGCATGTATAGATATAATGTACACATTATGTCTGTTTTCTGTGTCTAACACCATGGACCAATACATCGAGAGGATTGTTAATCGCGAGACAAGGCAGCGTAGTCGGGTATTTAATACCTATTGGTACAGCAGATGTCGCAACGAGTAATTTGTTTTCATTGACGAGCTGCAATTTAAATTTCTAGTGATAACAAATAAATCAACTAGATGGCGCTTATTACAAAGATTTTTATGGATAGCGCCGGCTAATAGAGTAATGAACAATACAATATCCATACAATGAACGTCTCAACTCGTTGCATGTAGTGCCCTCTAAGTGGGCTGTAAAATAAAAGTAAATGTAAATGTGTAAGTAAATGAATGTAAATTACTAACATAGTTTATAAGTCTGTTACTAATTATATATGGACTCAGGTCCGAAATAAATGCTTATTATTATTATTATTCTTTTGTTTAGGATTAGCTCCATCTATCTGTATTAGGGAACATTAATTTATAAATTAGTGTGTAACACACAATGCTAGCTATTGACACGCATATTTGTCAAAGTTCGGAAAATAATTTTAGCTCACGAACAATATTCGAATAATATTAAAAGGAAAAAAAACGACTTCTTATATTTAATATTAAAGGGGAATTAATTAATATTCACAGTTATTTACATGTCGTCGTCGGATATTGTGCAAATGCGCGTATATAGCATTGGTAAAAGGCGCGTATCTACCTGAACCAAATTTTACAGGTGAGAGATTTAACGTTATTACTTTGTTATTTCAATGGCTACGATTTTCATTTTTGCACAGGAATCATTAATTTATGTTGTCTATGGACTGATAGTTATACATTCCCGTAAATCACGCTAATTTGTTTGCCACGACATACACAACGTGTGTGCGTTGTGTATGTCGTCAACATAGCCCTGCACTAGGGAAACTGTGTGTCGCAGGTGCCATGGGCACAGACAACCACAAATTACGCCCAAACTCACGAGAGAAATAAGTGTAGGTCATACACATATCGAACCCAGGACCTCTGCGTGGCAGTCCAGCATGGTAACCGTCCAGTCACGGAGGCAGATATAAGACGGAATTTGAATCTTTTTCAAAGCTATCACTAACCATGTTTAGCCTGCCGCAACAGTCCAGCTCTGTCCAGGATCCTGCAAGCCTCCAAAGCGCATTGCACCACGGCGTCCTTCTTCTTGCCTCTGTGAATCACTTCTGCCACTACTGGCCTGCCATGGGGGTCGTCTAGAGGGAGTTCAGCTCTGGAATTATAATTCCGTTTACGAATCACATAATTTGGAATGACCTCTCGATACTAGATTTTTTTCATGATTTCGGATTTTTCGGTTCAAGTTACTTTGGTAAATCCGTTCGTTAATGAGGCAAAAATGTGTGTCAAGATCGCAGCAAGGCTGTTCCCTTTAACTGCCCCGATGGAAAAAGGCCGTAAAGTGTATGTACTCTGAGTGACACTGGAACTGTTAATGAAGACCTGTTCGTGCCGTCACGTCGTCGCATAATAAAAAAAAATTGTAGTAGGTTTTTAATTGATAAAATGGACGTTACGCAGATATGGACGTTGGGGTAATTAAAATACGATTCTTATACGATTAAGTCCCGATTTTTAAAACCAAATAATTTGATTCATAAATACCGGCAAATGAACTGCCCCACTCCCCTCTCCTCGCAGTCATATTTCAACTCGTGTCCTTCCCGCTCACAGTATCCTCTTAAGGTCTTTTTGGGGTCGGTCAAGTACAACTCCTCGTTACCAGTTGATGCGTAGGGGTTCTCCGACAGATCTGGTTCTTCCTCAGCGTCTTCGCCTGAAAACAAACTCTAAATTAGTAATTGTTCACCCGCACAGTATTAATAAAACAAGACAACTTTCTGCGCCGGCGCGTCGGCTCGAGATGGCGCGCTCTACGGCCGTGGCCGCAGGGCTAAGTCTGTATTCACGGACGGAAGTAGTTTTACCGGCGAAGGTCTGCTTTAAGTACATACATAACATAAAGCCTGTCTACCAATGGGGTAGGTAGATACTACGGACTTCCACTTACTATGATTCTCATTTATAATAGATATTTATTCTTGACCTGAATTTGGTTTACAATCCGATTGAGCTATTAATGACAAGGTCGATTTTCGCTCATAGCATGTTATGATTTGGTGTCTCTTTGATTAACAAACTCCCCTTTAGCATATGGACTGTCATTTATTAACTACAGGCCTGATGTTTAACTGAGTCGGTTCCTGAAGTTGGTGCGGAAGGAGTGACAGTTTACGTACAGTTATGTCGCGCTGCACACGGGATATTTTCAACAAGACTTTTCTGACGATATTCAATAACAAGTTGAATGAAAAAAGTTTTTACCAATTTAGTCATTTGTTGTTTTTTTTTCGTGTGTGACGAGACGAACAAGTCGTGCGCCTGATGGTAAGTGACACGCCTGTCCATAACAGTTACAGTGCGACTCAGAGCTTTAAATCACCGTAAGACATAAGTTGATAAGTCCCATGTGCCTGCAATTTCACCAGCACTCTTAGCCTTAAAAACCGGAACGTAGCAATACTCTCATTACTGCTTGGCGACAGAAATAGGTAAGGTGGTACTTCCCTGGACGATCTCTTTCACAAGGAGCTCTACTGCTACTTAAATGTTATGTGAAACGATAATAAAAAAACTATTTCATTGATAATTGAAGTGAATAGACAAGTCATTTGTTATTGTTATTCAATCAACTTGTTACTGAATATCGTCAGAAACATCTTGTTGAAATAATCCCGTGTGCAGCGCGACATAACTGTCACTCATCGAGTATATAACCAGACATAGAGAAGCAATAAGGGCCATCCATCCCTAGCATCTCATCAGACAAATTGACCTTATATCACTTTTAAATATCAAATATCGTTTGTAATCACAAATTAGAAAGCTGAAATAGTACAGCGCCAACAACTGACCTGTGTGTACGTCTCCGTATATTCCAAAAATATTCGGTATTTATTGAAATAAAGATAATATCTCTGACAATGGGGGGCTGTTCCATTCGGTGGTGTGGGAAAAACAGCAAAACATCTAATTACAAAACAAACGGAATCACATTTCATTGGTAATTAAATATGAAATTTTCATCCACTATAGCAAAGCTAAACTAGTCGATTTGACGTGAAACAATTGACGACTCCCATCGATTGTTTCGAATTCAGTCTGGCCAATCAGATTGCAGTTGTCGCCGTAATGATTTGGCAGAATAGTTTTCAAACAAACTAAATGACATTTCGTTTCTATTTCTGGTTATATACTCAATGCTGTCACTCCTTCCGCACCGCGCAAGTACCTCAGGAACCGACTCAGTTAAGCAGTAGGCCTGTGCAGGATAGGACAATGGTAAATGGTACTTACCCATCCCCCAATCGATGCCCTGTTCCTCTCGCTTCTTTTCCTCTTCCTGTCTGTCCCTTTCCCTCTGTTCTGCAGCTTCTTTAATCATTCTGTCTCTGTCCAACTTCATTTCTAGTGCTTTCTTTTTTATTTCCGTTACGGACAGCTCTGATTCGCCTTCGCAATCGAAATCTGGACCCTGACAAATCGAAAGTCTTGATTAATTAGTGGTGATCATTATAAATAAATTGCTGATGGCAGT